AAATTGGGGGATGGCCTGGGAAGTCTTCCTGGAGGTGTCCTTTGATTAAGAACTGAACCATAAACACTGGTTCATGGCAACTCTCTTGCTGCAAGGTAGGTTGGGTAAGGACGGAGGGAGGAAAGTCAAGAGTTAGGGGGCTGGGGGTGGCAAGACCCTGGGATGAAACGGTAGTGGGGTCTGGTGCCAGAACTCAAGAAAGCCTCCCTGGCCCAGACCGCCCCCACCCACAGACTGGTAAGCCCAGGTGTTCAGAGCACAAACAGGGCAGAAGTGGGTGTCCCCCTCCTTGGGGCTTCGGAGACCCTGTGCCTTCCCCGCCACCTGGGCTGCCCACGGTGCTTCAGTTTAAGGATCCAAGGCGGCCCCTGGTGGTCACTGCAGTGACAACAGCCCAGGCGGCTATCCTCCTGCCCAGTGGACAGGCTACCTCCGAAGGGAGGGGAGTGGGAGGGTGCAGAGAGGCAACCCCTGAAATGTTGCCTTCCAGTTGGCACAAGGACAGCCAACCGCCCACAAGGAGAGCCGCCTTCAGATTCTGTTCCCTTGTCTGCGGGCGCCCACCCTGTGCCAGGCCCTTGTGAGCAGCTTCAGGACCCCAGGTTTTAATTCAGGTTTCCCAGGTTTTAACACAACTTGATCATCGCTACCCTCTCTGAGCCCTGGCAAACTCCCCTGTAAAAATTTGGGGATAATCTTAAGAGTCAGTGCCTCATTGTTACTTAGGACATTTCTTACTGTAGATTTAAAAACTCATTTAAAAGCCACCAACAACCCCTGGGAAGGTGTGGAGGCAGCCCCCAGGTCTGTCTCTGGCCTAGGCCTGCGCTAGGGGAAAAGAGGTCACTGCAGCTCAGAAACAAGGGGAGGCCAGGAGTCGAGCAGGGGCACAGGTGCCTCCCAGCTTTCTGGCCACGCTCCCAGGCCACCAAGGACCCACTCTATCCATTTCCACCGATGAGGCCCAACTCTAATCCCCAGCCTGGGGCTCTGTCCAAGACCAGGGCCTTTCCTAGGACTCAGTACTTGTGTCTTTAAAGTAGCCTCTCATGGAATTAAGCTCTCAGAGCACTTTACACGAGTAATAGTAATTCTGTGAACCCTTACCGTGTGCTGGATACAGTGATATTCTTTCTGTGCATTTTGTTGGTTAATCCTAAGAGCACTGTATGGGGCAGGTCCCATTACCCTGTTTCACTGAAGAAAAAATGGAGGCAGTTTTCTGTGAGGGTAAACCATCAGTGGAGGTCACAGCAGGACCAGGATTTGAACCCGCTGGCCTGTGCTAATAACCACCATGCTAAACGGTTTCCCTACAAACTATGCTTCCTTTTGTGACGTATCCCTTCCACTCTGAGTTGGGGAGCTGAGTCTCCCCAAAACTCAGGCATCCCCTCCCCCAGCAGCTCTGGGTGAAGGAAGGTTTGCCCAAGTCAGTTGGGAGATGGATGTGTTGTGGGATCTTTCTAGAGGTTAATCTTAGAATGGCTTTTCCCATTATCTTCCCATTTTATGGATGAAGCCACTGAGGCACAGAGACAGCTGAGACTGGAATCCAGACTTGCAGCTGCAGCATCTGACCTGCTGCTTTCTGAGCGTTTCGCACACATTAGGTTCTTTTGCTGCTACTAGTGGGGCCTGAAGCAGGCGTTTCCGGGGCTCGGTGCCTCTGCCAGGACTTGCCTCTCCTCTGAGATCATCCCACCTGCGTTCAGCATCAGCTTTGCCTTAAGAATGTCCACACTGACAGGGAGGGGTGTCCTGGTGCCTAGGGAAGGCGGTGGTCACGGCAGAGGGAGTAAAGTGGGCAATAAAAGGCCTGCGGGATTCTTTCATCTTCGAGCTTTGTCCTGGGGAGATAAGCAGGACCGTTGGATGCGAGCCACAAATCAGGCTCGTAAACTCCCCATCTCCTGCCAGCCTGCTTTAGCGGAGAACTCTAGCGGAAGAAGGAAGGGGTGTGGGGTAGGCCACCCTAAATTCCTTGCACATGAGCCGGTCCCCTGCGGGCTCAGGGGCCCAGACAAAAGCCTTATCACAAAGCAAAAAGGATCCCTTTGTTTAGAAAGATTCCTCCCACCATGTTTTTGGGCAGCATCCTGAGACCAAAGCCAGAGAGAAAAAAATCAGATTCAGGCTTGCCTTGAGCGATGTGACATTTTCACTCCCTCTTGGAGTTATGAGTTGCTATTGTGAGGAAAAGAAAAAAATTAGCTAAACAAGCTGTTTCTGGGGGAGTTTTCATTAGCTGAAATACTCTGATTACAAAGCCCCTTCCCCCCACAAGGGAATGGAGACTTGGAAAGATTTCATTCCTTTGGCTGAGCACTAAGGCCAAAGGGCACTTAAATTAACGATCTTGCTCCCCATTTCAAAATACAAACTGGACTCCCCTGGTGGCACAGTGGTTAAGAATCCACCTGCCAACACAGGGAACGAGGGTTCAAGCCCTGGTCTGGGAAGATCCCACATACCACGGAGCAACTAAGCCCGTGCGCCACAACTACTAAGCCTGTGCTCTAGAGCCCACGAGCCACAACTACTGAAGCCCACATGCGTAGAGCCTGTGCTCCGCAACAAGAGAAGCCACCGCAATGAGAAGCCCGCGCACCGCAACAAAGAGTAGTAGCCCCCACTCGCCGCAACTAGAGGAAGCCCGTGCGGAGCAACGAAGATCCAACGCAGCCAAAAATAATCTAAGAATAAACAAACTTGGGGGGTTGACAAGGATTGAGCACTCATTTTGCCACTAACCTTTACTCTGCTAACTTTTTAAAATTAATTAATTAATTACTTTTGGGCTGTGTTGGGTCTTCGTTTCTGTGCGAGGGCTTTCTCTAGTTGCGGCAAGTGGGGGCCACTCTTCATCGCGGTACGCGGGCCTATCACTGTCGTGGCCTCTTTTGTTGCGGAGCACAGGCTCCAGACGCGCAGGCTCAGTAGTTGTGGCTCACGGGCCTAGTTGCTCCGCGGCACGTGGGATCTTCCCAGACCAGGGCTCGAACCCGTGTCCCCTGCATCGGCACGTGGACTCTCAACCACTGCGCCACCAGGGAAGCTGATACTCTGCTAACTTTTAAGGCTGTGCAGTTTTCAAGGCAAATTAAATCCCTATGTGCCCAACTCATTTTGCACCAAACTCATCAAAATGTGGCTTTCAAGGCCCTTTGAAGTCTTAAGACTAGACACATGGTCAAGGGCCCACGTGTTTACAAACGCACTGGAAACAAAGGGAAACGTTAATAAAATGTTTCCTTCTTGGCAGCACTGCTGATGAGTGCTTCACGGGGTTGCAGAGGGAAACTGGATGAGGAAGAGGAGGGCGTCTGGGCTTGGAAGGGGCCAGGCCTCCTCTGGCTTGGGGATCTCTGCAGGGCAGCTGGCAGCTGCGGTCTGCCTAATCTCCACCAGCCACCAAAAGAGCGATCGTCCAGCCAACCCTTGGTAGGAAAGGGGCAAAGTCAGCCAGTGAAAGTCAGAAAGGGCGTGGCACCGCTGGTCCAGGGTCAAGTTTCAGTTTTCAATGTGTCTGCACAAACAACAGCCGGTTCCCATAGCAGGAAGTCCAGGTGCAGATAACAGTTGCCCTGTGGTTCTAGCCACTGACCAGTAGAGAGACGCACAAATTTCACTCTGAGACGTCTTGGACGTAACTGTCGGGGGACCACCAGGTGCAGCCCCAGGTGCTAACAAGCGGCCCGTGGAGGAGGCGCATCACCTGGCAGGGTTTGATCATAGAGAGCAGTGGCCAACACTCTCACAGCTCCCAGTGGGATTTCATCTAACCCTCACAACCACCCCAAGGGGGGCACATTCTGAGAGGTGAAGCAAACTCCTCAAGGCCACACAGCCAGTGAGCACCCGAGCCAGGACTTAAGCCCTAGACTACCTGATGCCAAAGTCCAGCTGTTAACTTACAAATGCGGTCTCCCCAGAAACCACCTGGCTTCAAGCTGGGCCCCTGTTTTCTTCTTCGGGCAAACTCAGCCGACTGCTGCCTCTCCAGACCCACTGGGCAGAGCCTGCATTCCCCAAAGCCCACGGGCCTCCTGCGGTCCAGGACCAGACATTCACAGTGCAGGCCCACAGACAAGGGTGCTCCCTTCAGAAGGACGGGCAGGAGGAACCTCCTTGTCTCCAACCCTCCTCCCACCTCTCAGAGGGACACAAATTGCCATCCTTGATCCACAGCCAGGTGTCAGGAAGAAACACGGAAAGATCTAGAGTCTTCCTTCCCTGCCCTTCCGTCCACCGCTCACCCCCAATACAAGGCTGGGGGTCCAGAACAGACTTCCCATCATCATGACAACTGCCAGAGGCTTGCCTGGGGGGGCGGCTCCTGTTCCCACGGTGGGATAAGCAGGGAGGCAGAGCTTCCACTCTAGGGACAAAAAGGCAGGGGGCCCAGGGTCTGCCCCAAGTCAGCTTTGGGACTGCAAACATGTCAATGCAGCACCTGAGTTAGTGTCGTCACCATAAAATCATGTCACAGCACTGCTGTAGGGCAAGAGGAGGCAAGGGCTAAGTGTGTCCTAAGCACACAGCAAGGAGAAGCTTCCCGAACAGAAAGGAGGAACAGAGGCAGAGAGGATGGAGGGAAGGCAGCACCACCAATTCCAAACCCTGCTGTCCAAGGGCGATGGGATGACAGGTGATACTGCTTCCCTATTTCAAGGGTTTCCCAGGTCATCAGGAAAAAGACTCTCTCACCTTTTTTTTTTTAAAACCATAGCCTTCCCCTCAGTGGGTTTCACATCTGGGACTCTTAACCAGGTCAAGCCCTAGCAAACCTCTCCGGGAGGCTGTGTTGGTGCCAGGACCCCTCACCCTGATAAATTCACACTGAGGCCTGCGGAGAAACAGAACGTCCCCCCGCAAAAAAGAGGCGAGGCTCCCTGTTACGACAAGTTGCTTAGCCTGCGTTCTTTCGGCCAGGGTTTGGGAGAGCCGGTCAGAGACGCAAACCATTTACCAAAGGACACCATCCAAGAACACCTGGGGAGCTTATGGAGCGAACGCTGTATTTAATAAGTTATAAGATACAATTTACAGTTGGCATTTGGTTCCAGTTTTGCTTCCACATCCCGGTTTACGAAGCCTGTGGTCCTCTCACATCAGGCTTCGGGCCACTCCAGTTCCTAACAGGTGGGCTTTGCCAACACTCACCCTCAGCTGCTACACCTCGGGGAGGGTCACCCACCTCACCCTGTCCCATCCATGGACACACTCGAGATGACAGTGGCCACCTCCTCAGGACGAAACAGCAAATCTGAAAGGGCTGCCAGCCCAGACCACACGACACATCCGGGCCCTGCGGTCAGGCAGTCCCCGAGTGCTTTCACTTTATTCCAAAGCAGGTCTGCAAGAAGGCATGCAAAATGCCTGGTACCCCCCATTTTCGGAATTTTGCACCTGCTCACTATTGCTTTCCAAAGAGCCTCGGGTTACATGTGGTCAGGGCCAAATACGCTTTCATTATTTCTGCAAATGGTAAAGGACCACCAATGAGCTGCTGTCCTTCCCTCCCCTGTTATTCCCTGACTTTCAGGCCAAAGGTTGGCAGGAGTTTCCTTCTATAATTATCTTCCAGAAAAAGTTCACGCTGGGGCTGCCTGGGGGTGAGTGTGGAGTGTTAGGTCACGTGACAGGCCTCTGCTAACACCTGGACCCACCTGCGGTGTCTCTGGACATGCTGGTGAGACTCATCAAACAGACAAATGGCTGGAGCGTATGTTAAGAACAGGGCTAGTGTTGGTTAAAAAAAAGGGGGATCTTTGGCAAGTGGGGGGGCTGCTTGCCACTGCAGAGTTTCCTCAGACCCAGCGACTGAAACGGACTTTGAAAACAAAGGCAAAGACATGGCTGTCAAGATGGTCACATGCAATGACTCTGCAGGGAAATAAGTAGCAGGATGAGGGGAGAGGCACCAAGAAGCCATTTCGGCCAGTCTGTCACCTCGGACACTCTGCCCTTTGAGAGACGGGGGCGGGGTGGCAGTAGTGTTAAAACTGGTGTCACCCAATGGCCTTTTCTTATGTGATAGGGTCATCTTCTTTTCTAAACGACAACATAAACTAGGCGTCCCCATTTTCCCTGCCCTTCCGTCCAGTCCTGTTTTGCAAACTGACTAGACAACTTCATGTCTTAAAAATATCAGCCTTGTCTGTTCTTGTTCTGTCTGCAGGGGGTGATCTGTGCCAAAAGAGGTCCAGTTTTCCGGGCCTATTGAACAAATTTGCATTTCCTGAGTCCCCAACATGACCCTGAAGAGTCAAGTTTAGGACTTCTTTCTGAAGGTACTTAAAAAATCATGGCAATGTTTTTGGGATGGGGTTTCAGACCCACAAACGGGCTGGAGGACTTTGTATAAAACGAGTTACAAACAAGCAACAAAAGCAACCACCAGAACGCCTCCCAGGACTTGATGAGAACTGTTTTAAGGCACAGTGACATGGAAGGGGCTGCCAGGGATGTGCTCCTCTCCCCACTTCACGGCCAGAACGTAATCCCCCTTCTCCTTGACGATGTATGTCACACTGTATTGTTGGTTGCCCACATGCTTCATGGAGACTTCTTCACAGGGGGTGGTGGGCCCGTGGACCCCGATCAGCAGCATGTTGGAACCTGGGAGGCAGAGGAAGGTGGTTACTCCATGAAGATGCATCCCAGAAGGCAGAGGAAGAGGCGGGGATATGGGAGCCAAAGGAAAGATACCAGTTACTGCCTGTTAAGCTTCTCTGATGATGCTGGGGACCTTTGAGAGGTGGGAGAGTGCAGCAATTACGAGCAGGACTCTCATGGCTTCAAATCTCTGCCCTGCCACTTCCTGGGTGGGTGACCTTGGATATGGTACTTCACCTCTCTCTGTCTTAGCTTCCCCATCTGTAAACAGGGGATGACACTAGCACCTACCTCATGGGCTTCTTGTGAGGTTTAGAGGAGTTATTGCATGTGAAGCCCTTAGCACACAGTAAAGGCTATGTAAGTGTTGGCTACTCTGATCTCATTTATTCTCATGAGAACCTTCAGGAAGGTCCTATGACTATTCCCATTTTAGAGCAGAGGAAACTGACTCTTAGAAAGAGATTTAGTAACTTTCCCATGGTCACTCGGCTAATAAGCTTTGGAAATTAAGGAAGAAACGGAGGGAGGGAGAGAGGAAGGGAGAAATAAGTAAGTGGTGAAGCCAGGTTTCCAGCCCAGATGTGCTAGATGCCAGAACCCAGGCAACTAACATTGACACCCAAATAAATACCCAAGTTCAAATTGCAATTACAGCAGTTAGTGACAGAGGAGAGGCCAGGTTACTGATACAATGCAATGAGGATAACGCGACCTTTCCTATGTACCTTGAGGTCATTTGGAAAAAATCAAGAGGCAAATCATTTAAAAATATTAAGTGCAGAACAGGGCAATGAACACGGTTACTTGCAAATGTCTGGGTTACATGGGTGGGTGGGCACTGCAGACCAGAGCAGGAAAGACCAAAGTACACAGAACAGAGGGTGTCGCCCCATGCCCTCCATTCCCCGAGCAGGGCCAGGCTGCCTACCGGCTTTGCTGCAGTCCACCAGGAAGGAGCTCTTCTGGCCCACAAATGCCTTCGAGAGCCCCGCCCCCTTGGAGGTCACCTTGCTGGCATCTGAGGATGCCTTGGGGATGGCGCTATAGCAGGTCTCCGTGGAGGACCTGGTCACTGACTCCACCAGGATGGATGAGGTCTCGTTGGCCGAGCCGGGGCTGACCAGACGCTGGCCTAGGACATGGAAGGGAGAGAAGCAGGCATGACTGACCAGACAAGGCAAGTACCCCATGCAGAAGCCCCAGAAGAGCCCCGGCTCCCCAGCACCTGGATCCAAGAGCCACCACACCCCTACCTCACGCCCCCCAACACCTGGATCTAAATGCCACAACTTTTCCATCTCACCCCCCATAACGTCTTCTATGGGGTTCTGGAGTCCTGCCCCACACAACTAAGATCTGGCTTTCTGGGTATATGGGAGAGTCTGGCCTCGGCTGACTTGACCTGGAAGGTCCTTCCAGGTCATAAGCATGGGCCCCAGGAATATAACCACGTGCCGCCCTATGGAATGGATATCTTTCCATTTATATAAAATACTCTACGTATAAGCAGTGTAAACATGTGGGACGACACTGACAAAATACCAAAAATGATTCGGCATATATATTTTTTTTTGGGTGGTGCAGCGGAGCTTGTGGGATCCTAGGTCCTTGACCAGGGACTGAAATTGCACCCTCGGCTGTGAAAGCGCTGAGTCCTAACCACTGGACTGCCAAGGAGTTCCCCTCTCGGCATATTAGAAGATGATTTTTCTATCTGAATTTTTAATTTACTTAATTTTAATTAAATTTTCTGCAATGAACCTATGCTACTTATATGACAGTGAACCAAGCAGAAAGAGACACGTGGAAGGAATTCACCACAATATTTATGGTGGTTACCTTGGGTGGTGGGCGGTGAAGTGGTTTTTACCGTTTGGTATTTTTTCCAGTGCTCTGAAGGAGGCACATTTTTATAAATTTAATAAAAACTTTTGATTATTTTAAAAGTGAAGGTTAGAAATGAGGGGAATTTTCAGGCCCTGACCTAAACAAATACGTAAGATCTCAAATATGTAAACATTCCTTCTTTTCTGTTTGAGACAGAAAACCACCTAATGTGCTTTCTCAACTTCTACACCCCTACTCTGCCTGCAAGTTTTCGAACATGCAGTCACTGACATGTCCTACCATTTCTTTACATTCAAGATTCAAAGCAGATTCAACATCTCTAAAATCATCGTTTCTACTATCGAATAGCTCTGCTGATAATCTGACAAGATCACCTCCACAGGGGGAAGAATAACTTTAAAGGTGTCTGTGGTTGTTACCTGTCACCTTGGCCTTGAACGGGCTGCCCACGATGTGGTTGGGCCCGCCATATTTGACGCCAATTAAGTAGCTTCCAGGAGCCATGGGGGTGTACATGACTTTGTACCCTTCGGGGGTTTCCTGGCAATCCATTTTAACCTTGGACGGGCCTTCAATGGTGACGGACAATGTCCCTGGCCCTGCTCGGGTGGTGTTGATGAAAAATTCAGACTGGATACCTGGGAGAAAGGAAGCAGGGATAAAGATCACGTGGAAGGTTTGGAGGGATGGGGAGGGTGTGCTTTGGGGAGCGTTCTGGGGGCCCTGAAGCAGTGGCGGGGCACACGGAGGTTCCCTCTCAGAGGGGTCACCTTGGTGGCACGGGAACCCACCAGTACTAGCTCTGAGCTGCTGGCGCAGAGAACCTCAGGCCCTGGGGGATGGTAACCCCTTTCCAAGGCCCAGGCAGGAGTGTGGCCAACATTCTGTCCACAAGCACGCACTGCCTTGTTTTCTCCTCTGGGCACGAGCCGTGGCTGAGGGCGAGAAGCCTGAGTCATCAATGAGAGCCTGAAATGTTGCTTCCGCCCCCAAGGGCCAGCTCTGCCCCCAAGGGTGGGGGAAGCGTGGGCCCCTCTGACCTTTCCTTTCTCCTCTGGTTGGACTTGGAGAAGCCCAGGCAGCCCAGCGCTGCCTCCTTCCTCCTCAGGCTCCTAGCCCCAGACACCACGCTGAAGACCAGGGTAGCCGCTAGGATCTGCCAGCCCTGCCACTTTGCCTTGAACACAAGAACAGGACCAGAACAGCAGCTCCTGCTAATACCACTGGCACCACTCCGGCTCCAGGTCCTGTGCCCGTCATTTTACATGCCCAGTGATTCGTCTTTAACAAACGACAATGAGGCTCAAGGAGGTTCAACCACATGCCAATCAGAGCTACAGGAGAGAGGGGCAGAGATGGTACTGAAGCAAGTCTGAGGGGGTTCAGACCCCAGGCCCGTCTCCTGGCCTCTGGATGGGCAGCGGGGCTGCCTCAGATGCCCTAACTGCAGCTCCAGGACATCCTACTTCTTGCCTGCCTGGTCCATGAGGGCCTCCTGCACAGACATCCTCCCTCGTGACAGAAGGAAAGCTGGGCCCAAAGACAGTGCCAACCAATGACCACTGTGGCGTTCCTGCCTGAGCCCAAGGCCCTGAAAAAGGCCCCATTCCCCAGGCCCCTTTCTAGTTCAGAAGGGGAAGAGGCGGTCAGTCACCAGCTGCACACCTGCTACAGTGCCCTCTACGGGGCATCCCCGGCATAGCATTCTGCGGGGCTGGGCTTCTTCTAGAGCCCTGGACGCGCCCCAGCTGGGAACTATTTTGGTTTAATTATAGCTCGGAGGCCGCCGGAGAAAGAATTACTGTTCTGGTTATCAATAAGACAAAGGAGCTGCTATCATGCAACCCGGAATACAACCCAGATGTTTCTGGAAAAGCTCCCGAGGCTCCTGTCCCAGCACCACCCCCTCACCCTGCCTCCACAACTGTCTCAACCTTGTCTCTATACTGTGCAGCCCAGGAGCCCTTCACTCAGCCGCTGCCCTGCTGAAGCAAAGACGTTGGGGGAAAGGGAGGGGTATTCAAACAAGGGACAGCGTTTCCACGAAGCAGCTGCAAGTGACAGCAAGGAAAGATACTTCTAAAGTGAAGATGAAAAGACCTGGCTGCAGTAGAAAGGACAGGATTGCTCCATTCCTAAGAAACATCAGTTCATCCTGATTGTGAGGGTCCAGAAAGGAAGATGAGGTGGGAAAAGAGAAATAAGGAATTACAGGGCAAGAGCAACCTATCAGGTGGGCTCCTTTATTATTCCCATTTTACAGGAACAAAGTGGAGGCTCAGTGAGGTCAAATAACTCACCCTAAGACACACAGCTGGAGAATGGCTGAACTGGGGTTTAAACATAAGGTCTGTCTAACCTGGAGCTAATGCACTCGTCTGAGAGCAGATGGGAGAAAGAAAATCCACATGCAGGAGTCCCTCTCATCACCACCTCCAGCCAGAATCACTACCCCAGACATCTCTGGGCATGGCAGTGTTCCCCTGTACCCCCGTGTATATACAGATGAGTTCCTGTGAGTTTAATGCATGTTTAATGCAGCCCTACTCCATCTTCAAGGTGGGTGAGGGGTAACGGGAGGGAAGGAGGCTCTCCCCTTACATCTCGTGCACACTGGGGTTCCTGGGGCATTTCATCAGGAAAATGGCTCTTCCAGCCAGAGAGTCTGGAACTCCCTGGTCTAACTCCTGACCTTCTCAGTCCCTCTGCAGCAGACAGTCCCACCCCAAATTCTCCACATTCCCTGCTCTAAAACCTGCAGAATTGACCATTTAAAGCGTGAGCCAAGAGATACCGCCAGCCCACCCATAAAAACACAGGGAAGCTTGCTTTGTTCCGAAGGTCAGGATGCAGGCCCTCCAGCAGCCGGGCAGAGACACCTTTTCATTCCACACGCACTGCAGCTGTGTAATCCTGGGATGGATATTTGGGAAAAGGCCTGGGAGCGGGAGGGCTAGAAAAACAAGACGCCTTCCCCTCGACAAGAGCAATATTTACACAGGATTTGAAACAGGGTTGTTCTGTACCTCTCCCTCCTGGCTGGAAGTCTCCCTGCAAGACCAGCTCCTTCCCTCAGCAGCATCCAGTGCTGGCAAAGCACAGCCTGAAACCTGAGCTCCTGAGAAGGCTTGCGAACAGCCAACAGGAAGCACGAGAGGCCCTGGGCACAGCAGGTGTGACCCAGCAGGGGGATGGGTGGCTGCTGGCAGCACAGGAGACCTCAGTGGCTGCTGCGGGGCCTGGACCAGGGCCTGCTGGGGCTCCAAGTGCCAGGAGGACCCCACCTGGGCTTCAAGGGTGGATGGCTTGTCAGGAGCCAAATGCCTGCACTACTGCCTGGGGACCTTCCAGGGCTGCTGGGAAGATAGGTGTCCTTGTGTAGGACACCCCACAAAGCAGGCCAGGGATGTAGCCACTGCCTCGGGGCGAGCCAGCCATTTAGGGAGGCAGCAAAGCTCAGGGGTTAAGCGAGCAGGCCTTGAGGCTGTGAACCTGGACTGGTTCTGGCTCTGCCCGCTCCAAGCTAAGTAAGCTCGGGGAGTGACTCAACCTTTCTGAGTTCTCACTTTGCTCATCTGTATAATGGACACTGCCTAGGGTGAAACAATACAGTGCCTTTTACAAAGGGCAAGCTGCTGGCCCAGAGTTCAGTGTGGAGCCAGACAGGATGGGCCTGGGGAGATGAGAAGTGCTCATGCAGACCCTGTGGGAGGTTCTGCTGAGGCCACTGCTGTGGCCAGAGTCGCAGGGTGGCACACCAGCCGGTCAGTCACTCCTGCACCCGGGCAGGGCCCCTCGTCCCCTTACGACACTCACTCCACAGGGCTGGATGCCGGGAAACCACGGCCACTCATCCCCTTGCCTGTGGGTCTGCTCTGTCCCACTCACCATGTGGGGTAGGGAGGAGACTAACAGCAAAATGTGCACACACAAGGAACTCAAGAATCCTTCCTAAGAGGCCCCAAAGTAACACTCAGACGCAAACTGCGTCCCAGTGAGTCCACGCCTGCAAAGAAACGTAAGTGGACAAGCTCCCCACCCTGGCACCTTCCGTAACAGTGACACACTAGACACCCCTGATGCCCACCTCTATATTCACGGTATGGACACTAACTACAGCCATTACGAGGCAGGTAGATCAGTAGGTTTTGACACGGAAAGTTCCTTAAGATGTCAAGGGACAAAAGCAAGTTGTACTGAAATACAAATAGCACTAAGACTATTCCTATAAAATAAAACTCCATGTCTACCTTCTTAACAAACCGACTAGCTAAGCAACCAAGTGACCAAGAATGAAGACCAGGGGCTTCCCTGGTGGCGCAGTGGTTGAGAGTCCGCCTGCCGATGCAGGGGACACGGGTTCGTGCCCCGGTCCGGGAAGATCCCACATGCCGCGGAGCGGCTGGGCCCGTGAGCCATGGCCGCTGAGCCTGCGCGTCCGGAGCCCGTGCTCCGCAACGGGGCGCGTACCGCAAAAAAAAAAAAAAAAAAGAATGAAGACCAACAAAGAGACAATTGGAAGGTCCTCCCCGATCTGTTAAGCCGTGTTTCCTCCTGGACCCAGAGGGAGGGAGGGAGGAGAAGCAAGATGGAACTTTACATACTTCCTCACTGCCAGTATTTTTCACAATCAAACGTGTTCCATCTGTGGCAAAGACTAAAAAAGAATTTGACTGTTTTCGTCTTTTCTCCTCCCCCGTTAGGATTAGAATAAAAAGGAGCCAGGCTGTGACAGGTCTTACTGCCGACTGAATGTGTTTCTAGGAGGCCAGGGTCCACGAAAGGAGCTGGTGGGTAGGGGACCTCCCCAGAGGCCCGTTACCTGCATCATGAACTCTGTGCAGGCAAAGGAACCCTCAAAACAAAAGATGCTGTGTTGTATTCCCTATCAGTGTCCCGGTCCTAAAAGAACCTGGCAAAGGAAGACAGCTGCAGCACCACAAACGGTAATGAGCTGTGAGAACGCAGCCATCAAGCCCTCACTCTGGATTTACCGCAGGTCAAGCGAGAGCCTCCCAAGGGTGCATTACTGACGTTTCCCTGGGGAGAGAGGATGGCAGGCTTCCCGGGGGCTTGAAGAGTTCCACCTGCTCTTCCCCGGGGACAACTCCGTTAAAGACAAGAGGCAGAGGCAGTGTGTTACCTGTGGTGCCCCCCTCCAGCCCTGAGCCGTAGGCGGACACCAGGGCAGGGTTCCCCGCTTGTCCGGGTTCCCCGACTCGTACTTTGAAGGGACTTCCAACCACGTGGCTCCCGTTGAACTTGACGTCGATCGTGTGGACACCATTCTCGTGGGGGATGAAGCGCACAGCATACTTATCTGGGAGAGTGAACAAAGGCACAGGGTAAAAGTGGGCCCGTGGACCCGACCAAGGTGGGTGGGGACAAAGGACAGGAGCCCAGCCTGAGAGGGCCGATCTTACATCACTAATAAGAAATGGCCCTGCTGCAAGCCTGGCACCCAATATGTTGGTGATCAAAACCAGATGGGCCTATTTGTCTGTACCTAGACAGCCCTTTGGGAAATGCATCCAAATCTCAAATTCTGTGTTTAATCCTCTGTGGCTTTGGCCTCAGAAAAACACTTCCTTTATGAAAAGCTCACTTCTGGCGCAGCTTCTCTGCTTGGCCAGGGGAAAAAATGGTTCCAACTGAGACTAATGCTCCTTAATTAAGCTCCAAGCTAGCAACGGTCCCACGGGGCAATGGCCAGGTTTCTCACTGTGTGTCTGGCTCACAGCATGTGGTAAGATGATCTATAAACTGAAATGGGCACCTAGAATATCCTTCCACCATGCACCACTTGACCACCCCTTCCTCCTTGAAGTGCTCCCAGCTGGGATGCAGAGTCTGTTCTCCTCCAGTCAGTCTCTCAGCCTCTCCCTGGCTCCTTGTACCCTCCATCCCCTTCAGAACTTTTGTTGCTCAAAGCTCCACCCAAATCCTCTTGTCTTCTCCTCTGGACTCTCTCCATATGGAGCTGCCACCCATATCCTTCAACACTGCACGTCCCCCATCAGTCCCCAGCTGGTACCCACCCCTCCTCTCTGAAAGCCAATGTGCTACAGGGAAAAGTGATCCCACCCCCACGTCCACGTATGGTCCTTGATTGGGTCAAATTAATGTGGGATAGCAGGGGGAGAAATCCCTCTTTCCCCAAGCCTAAGTCAATTAGCACATGGCATTTAGCCACACAGGAAGGGACTCAGGAACAGGCATGTATGTTCAGTGAGATAGGAGGGGAGGTTTGCTGGAGACTTCTGCAAAAGGAGCATCTAAGACTTCTGGAGAAAGAATCTTGAGGAGAGACTGTCTCTCTTGATTGGTGTCATGCGCTGCTGCAGCCACCTTACCACCAAGAGGAAGGCCACTTTCAGAATGAGGTCCACAAATCAGAAGAAAGAGCAGAGATGTTTGGGGCCTTGGAGAATATAGCTGAATGGCTGAATTAAATTGGTGCTGAAACCCATCTTAGATCTTGAACTTTCCACTTACGTGAATTAACAGACCCCCTTGTAATGGACCGTGTGTGTAATGGACCCCCTTTATTATGTGAATTGGCTTGAGATGGGTGTTCTGTAATTTGTCACCAACGGCATCCTAACTGTGTCAGGCTGGTGGTCTCAGACACTGCTAGGGCTTCAAATACTGCCTGGGGCTGAGGACACCATATCTCACTTGGTGGTTAAATTCCAATGCAGTAGAGATCTATTAAATGTTCCCACTTGGATATCTCAGGGACACTTAAAAACCTCTCAGAAAATAAAGTATTCAACTCTGTAAGGCAGTGACCAGCCCTTGCTCAACCACGGCTGCTGTCCTGAGCTTTGTTAACTGCACCATCATTTTTCTACCCCATCACCAAGCTACATGTAACCTTTCTGAATTCACTTTCATTCCCTATGGCCAATTGGTCACCAAATGTTATAGTTCTCTGACCTCAAGTCCTTCCTCTGCATTTCTAACGCTGCTGATTAATACTGTTTTCTCTGGAAACGGACCACTCTGCGAGCGTCGGCTTACCACCTTGCCTTTCAGATGTACCAACACATTCACTATAATGTGGTCAGACTTAAACCATTATCTGACCAGATATGGGTTTACAGCCCACACATTTGTTCCTTCTGAGGCTCCCCACTGCCCTTTCTTCTTCCGCCCAGTGGGAGGAAGATGTCTAAATGCCAACCCAGGTCCCAAGTGTCTACCCTCACTGCACGCAGAGCAGGGTACACAGTAAACGCCCAATAAGGGCAGTGGTCACAGGGCTCTTCCTCATGTATCAGGGCCCATATTCAATGTTACCTCCTCCGAGAAGTCCTTCTGACCTTGTCAAAGCAGAAACCCTTTTCCTCTCATGCTCTGACCATCTTTACCATTTGGTTCTCAATTCTGCTGTGCTGTTGGTGATCAGCTGGGGTCCTCACCTGTGCACTGCACCTTTCTGGATCACACTCTTTAGGTCCTCACTAGACTCTGTGCTCCTCCCTGAAGGCAGGAATCATGACTTCCTCAGCCTTACCTTCCTGTCAAGTCTCTGATACTTAATAAATGTTCACTAGAAAAATGGTCTCGTTCAAGTTGATTGACATCACAGAATTCCATACACCAAGGCAGCGAGCAAGAGAATCTCATGCTATTAAGTCCTACTGGGGACCCAGATTCTCTCTTTCCTTTTTTTAGCCGCACGGCTAGCGGGATGTTAGTTCCCCAACCAGGGATTGAACCCGGGCACTCAGCAGTGAAAGTGCAGAGTCCCTGGACCGCCAGGGAATTCCCCAGATTCTCTTTTCTTAATTGACAGCAATCAACCTTTTTCTCAGAGTAAAGAGAGATCAGAGTGTACTTATTCATTTCATAAGGTAAACAATAAAGATCTGTGATATTTTATTAAAATATGAGAGAACATCACAATGAATGTCATGTGAAAGAAATCTGAAAAACAACTGAAAATAAAGAAGTATTTGTTTAAAAAAAAAAAAAAAAAAGCCTGCCCCTGGCAAATGTTTATACCCTAATTTATAAACAGTGTCTGGCAACAGCAAAGGGAATCCGAAGGCCTTGCAGAGGCTGATGACCCCTCCGTCAGGATACATGTTTGCAGAAACATTCCTGGTGCGGGCGCTGGTGCTTACCTGGCTCCAGCTCAGACACGTGGCATTCCTCCACGGCTCCAGAGGGGCTGTGCACCTTTGCATCGATCTTGCCTTTTGCCCCATTCAACCTTATAGCAAAGGAGGCTGGCTGGTTAACTTTTAATCCTGATTCCTGAGAATTTAATACATGAGATGCGTTACAGCCCTCGGCGTTCTTGCTCAACAGCATACACAGACCCAACCCAGGATTCCAGCGGGGGGACAGTTCTCATGCAAACAGGCCTGGAATATGTTTTTCTATATAACACCTGGCAACAAAAGAGCAGGTTGAGCAATTCCACGTTTCTAGCGTTAAATATAAGAAAGGAGAGACACACATCTGCACCGTCTTGTATCTAAACCATCTTGACTCAGAGATGGTTCCTAGGTTTGGGGACTTAAGACATCCTGGCCAGCAGGATTACAGTTTCAGCATCCCAAACAAGAGCTGTACAGGCCAGAAAATCCAGAATCTTCCAGATCTGCCCCCTCCCTCAAAAAAGAAGAAAGAAAGAAAGAAAAAAAAGACTTCCTCTCCCCACCGCCTTTTTAGGAGGAGGCTGGCAGCTGATAAAACCCTGCACTCACTAACATGAACGAAGGCTTTGTATCTCAAGGGTGGAGATGCAGAGAACTTTTAATAAACTTGTAAAGGGCCACACATGATTTTTCTTTCATGCAGTACTGCACAGTGGCTAAAAACCAGCAGAACCTGGATTTACTGCCATTTCCTAGCTACATAACTAAACTGTTGAACCTGTTTGAGTCTCAGTTTCCTCCTCTGTAAAAACAGGCATAATAACCAAATCTACCTCAGAGAGCTGCTGTGAAGATTAAACGAAGTTATGCATTCAAGGCACTCAGCACAGGGCCTGGTCCATACATAGGAAAGTTTAAAAATGTTAGCTCCTATTAACATGCATTTAGAAGTTGTTAGTCCCCCCAAAAAAGCCATGGGAGAAGTGTAGCTTTTGCTCTTGAGTAGATCAGTTTCACTCTCCATGCTTTGTCTTGGAAACTACATCCTCTGCTGGGAGAAGGGGATTGGAAGTTCAGATGCTTAAGATATCTTAAGATTGGCCAATCCTGAATAGCAAAATTTTACAAGCCAGCAGTTTTGCTGTAAACATGGTTGGACAGCTACTCAGATGATCACACTAAAGCAGCAGGGCTCACACGTAATGTGCAACCGAGGGTCTTGTTGAAATGCAGATTCTGATTCAGTGGGTCTGAAACGGACCCTGGGACTCCATGTTTCTAAGAAGTTCCCAGGGGATGCTGAGGCTGCTGGTCCAAGGATCACATCTTAGCTTCAAGGCGCTATAAGCAGTGCTGCCTCGTTCAGTAGTCACTAGCCACATGTGGTTATATACAGTTAAATTTAAATCAATTAAAATGAATAACTCAGTTCTGGACTTCCCTGGTGGTCCAGTGGTTAAGAATCCGCCTGCCAATGCAGAGGACATGAGTTTGAGCCCTGGTCCGGGAAGATCCCACATGCTGCGGAGCAACTAAGCCCGTGAGCCACAACTACCGAAGCCCAGGCGCCTAGAGCCCGTGCTCTGCAACAAGAGAAGCCACTGCAACGAGAAGCCCGCGCACCGCAATGAAGAGCAGCCCCCCACTCGCGGCAACTAGCGCAGCAACGAAGACACGACACAGCCATAAATTAAAACAAACAAACAAACAAAAAAACTCAGTCCCTCAGTTACACTAGCCACATTTCAAGGGCTCAAGAGCCACATGTGGCTCATGGCTACCATACTGCTCATTGGAGATGTGGGACATTCCCACTGCTGCAGAACATTCTACTAGACTGAGCTGCCCTAGAGGTTACAGATGACGGAGGACTGAACACAAAATTAAGGAGTCTTTGATCGCCAGACCACCCCCATGCCACACCCTCCCCTACAGAATGCCAGCCAACTCCAATTTTCTAAAAAGTCTCAAAAGCAAGACAAAACAATACATGCCTCTCTTTCCTAACCAGCACCAGATGTTGCCGTGCAGCCTTGCCAATAAATCTCCAGTAAATAATTTACATATCACTTGGCATCAGGTGACGTGGGGAGAACAGGGGACAAAGTTGACACACAGGTCCCTCCTGTTGTAGCAGCTGGTTACACAAGCTTGACGGACATACCAGCCTGACGCATACTTGTTTAAATATTTTATGACCAAACTGTTATAAGAGGACTCTATGGAAGTTTCTTGGAGCCGATTTCTCCACATCAGCTCCTTTTGGACAGAAGCGTTTACGTTACCTGAATTCACTTGCCACTAAATCCTCAAGAGGGAGATAAACGCCTCACAAGATCCAAAAGAAATCTTCCAGATGCGTGAAGGCAGCTCTTTGCCCTCAGCAATGCCAGCTTTATCTCCCTCCGTAGGTTTTAGTTAAGTTGGCCACAGAAGGAACTTCTGTTAAGAAGCCTTTAAATGAAACACAGGAAAAACATCTGCACCACAGTGACCAGTCAGTATCCTTGGTACTCTCCAGATGAGGCCGCTTCAATCTGTAGACCGTGACCCTGGTCTGGGTTCTGTTTGGGTTCCCTAATGTTTGAGACAACTAGCAGTACCAGTCCCCCTCAGGGGAAAGTTAGACTCTCAAATGTACACCAAGTACATGGAACCAATCTGAGACATGAGGTTGAGTTTTCATCAATCCAATATGTTCAAGAACTGGGGGGCAGCTGAAGGCTATTTAGAAACCCCTCTACCCAGAAATCACATTCTGGGATTTTGGTGTTATTCCGCAGCCAAACTGCTACATCTGATTCAGTGTCCTAAGACCCAAGGGCGTCCCCAGTACTTCTTAGTTTGGCTGAAGGCTCTAATGCAACCCCGAATTAAGTGCCCTGTTTAAGCCAGGGTGAAAAGTTGCATTTCCTGCCATTCTAAGAGGCTGGGCTACGTAACCACCTGCCACAATGCCAGGGTTGGGATTAAGGTGGTTGCTGTTAAGAGCATGGCTCTGGAACCCCCGAGACCTCACTCTGCCTCATTCTAGCTGGTGCCCATAGCTGGATCCTCTCTGCATCTCAGTTGTTCTATCTTTAAACGGGGGGTGGGGGTCAAGAAAAGCTACTCACCAGACTGTGGCAAGGATTTAGGGAAATAACACTGATACAGTTCTTAACACAGTGTTTTGCACGCTTACTATAAATAAATCAGCATCATAAAATAAATCACAATTGACTTTCTTGAGGAAAAGGAAGCCAATAATAGCAAGCTGGACATCACTGGACTGTTCGTTTCGTGTTTGTTTTGTTTTGAAAGCCCTCCTTAACCCCTGACCAATTATTAACAGGCCTTCTTTGTTTCTCTGGAGTGAATATTTAGAAAACAAACTCGTCTGCAAATGTTGAGGAGTTTTGCTGACCGTGGCTGCTTTCTGCTCGCCCCGACGGTCTCATGTCCTGAATGTGGCTCTGCTGCAGGAAAGGTCCCCTACGCCTGGCAGCATCTGTGGTCAAAATGTGCTGGGGTCCCTGGCACAGTCGGAGATTGAAGGGGCCTTGGGAGTCCAGGGCCTCACTGGCTGGGCTGTGGCCAAGGAGACGGATGTTTCCTTGTGTCTCACCTGAAGGCTCAGAACAGTGAGGCGGCGGGCATCGTCAGAGGGCGCGATCACCGGCACCAGGTAGGGACTTTCTGGGATGTGCTCATCATTGAACTTGATAGACACCTCGTAGTTACCTGTGGGGACAGGAAAGACCCATCATGTCAGAGATTCTGGGAAGGTGGTTCCAGAGTGGCCTCTTGTTTCTCTAGCTAGGGCCAAAGTGCCTTCCGAGAGACCCTGGCCCGCTCCACGGCTGTGGCTGACTGGGTCAGAGAGGGTCACCTGGCTCACACCAGGCCAACGCAATTTTCTTAGTTGGAAAGGGCAGGGATTCTTTTTTTTTTTTTAATCTTAGATATTCTGTTTAATAATTTCAAAGAGCATTGAAGCACTGAAGTGTTTGTTCTGTGTTTTGCCAGCGTATATGTGAATCCCCACACCAATCACGCATCAACGTCTGGTGTGTATTCCCAATTTCTCTCCAAAGGAGAGGCTTACGACAGAGCATTTTATTAAAAATTATAGACTTAAGAATAAGAAGGGCTTCGTGTAACTAGGATCCCATTACTGATCCTGAACTATGAAGTGTAAGACATAAACTTTGAGAACGGGGGTAGAAGCAGAGTGATAACTAGGAAAGAAAATCTAGTCAAGGAAGAAGGTCAGGGATTCTTAGCCTGGGCCCACACAAAGGGTCTGTGTACAGTACTCAGGAGATCCATCCAACTCGAATGGGAAAAACGCACATCTTTATTTTTCCTAACCTCGAATTGAAATTTAGCATTTCCTTCCTTTAGAAAAGTTGACAAGAAACCACAGCACATTAAGACTTGTGATTCTGTCAACAAAAACCATCACTTTCCAGCTTTATATATATATCTTGACATACCATTTACACTCACTGCCACTTAGAAATTAAGGTAGGTAATAGACCATCACCAAATCGTATGATTTAACGTATTAATGAAAACGTGTATACGTTGCTATGTTGCATAGTTGCTCCTTTAAAAAGATTTTGATAACAATATTTTATTAGAATTGATTTCTTTTATAATCTGAAGTAGTTTATTTCATGTGTTTAAAAATATTTCCTGAGATGGTCCCCATGGGCCTCACCAGATGCCAAAAGGATTCATGGCGCACAAAAGGTTGAGAACCCCTGATCGAGGAGCTCAGATGCTGAGGCCACTCTTCTGGGGCAGCCACACCAGCCACTGGCCACAGGTGGGCAGAGAGAGGCTGGTCAGTGGGAAGAATGACACAGTTGAACAAGAGCATAAAGCAGTGAGGCCAAGAGACAAGGAGAACAAGAATTCCTACCCCTTTGAGGCGTGGCTGGATATCCTGCAACTGGATTTCCAGGACGCGTTCCCATGGGCCCATACAGATAAATTCCTCTTCTACTGGAGCTAGCCTGATGAGTTTCTGTTCCTTACAACCCAACCATCCCTAAACAAGGAAAACGTCCTCCATGGGCCCCCGAGTACCTACCAGGCTCTTGGGCAATATAAGACACACCACATGATCCGTTTTTATGGTCATCAAACGTAATCTCGGCCTTACTGGGGCCCTCAACAGCGATGGAGAGGCCCCCGGCACCTGCCTCCCGGGTCCAGATGCTGAATTCAGCTGAGACAAAGAAACACCTGGTCAGTGACTGAGCCCGGTATAGGCCCCTCTTCTGGCTCAAACATGGGGTGCTGGGTTCTGTTTGTTGCCAGCCCTTTCCTCTTTCTCTAACCCCAAGCAGAACCCAAGCAAGGGCATTGGTGATGTTTGCTAAGCCCCATCCATGACTACACTAAGCTCATGGGCGATCAGACATCTTTGGAATACATGCAAACCAAGTCAGAACAAGATGAGAACATTCAGTTTCATCCCCAGAGACTTTCCCACCACTGCAAGGGACCGTCACAATCAGTTTTATAGAATTCTAGCATGTTTCGAAGAACATTAGCCTGCAAGATGCCCTGGAAACGGTTTTATGACCCTGAGGCTCTCTTAGAGACTCACAACACACACCCATAAATTACAGGCTCCGAGAAGTCCTTCAGTAAGACACTTGTTTAGCTTTGGGTAAGCAATTCCCAAATGTCTTTAGCCACGGAAGCCTTGTTTTAAAGAATGCCCCTTCACACCATCCCTCAGTAACACACAACGTCTTCCTTTCAGAACAGGGTGAAGAGTGCAGGATGCTCACTCTGCCAGGCTGAACTCAATCTTCTCAAGTAAAAAGCCTGCCCAGAACGCTCACCTGGGACTCCTGCTTCTCCTCGCTCTAGGCCAGGGCCTCCTGCCCGGACCTTCTGGGCGCCCCCCTCACCCAGAGGCCCCACAGTGAACTGGAAGGGGCTGCCGGTGACGTGCTGGCCGCGGTACTTGACGCTGACGGTGTGAACCCCCATCTCCTGGGGCACAAACCGGACACAGTGCGAGTTCTTTCCCACAGGCACAATCTCTGCCTCGGTCACGCGGCCTGAGGGGCTGGTGACGTGGGCTGACATGTCACTGCTGTCGATTTCTGAAAGCGGGCAGGGAGAAAAAGAGGAGGGTCAGGGCGAGGGCCTGAGGGGGAACAGGACATGCAGGGCAAGCAGCAGACGGCAAAGCGAGTGTAGGCCAGGGGTGCGGGGTGCTCAGGCTTCCTCCCTTCCTGGCTGGATGCCTGCCCTCCTGTCTCCCTCAAATCCCTGGGTGGTCGTGGCCAGCATGGAGAGTGCAAGGCCCTTCCAGCCACCCGGTGCAGAGAATATTCTGGGGGCACTGACACATCTTGCCTCGCCGAGCACTTTGCCAGCCTTCCTGGCTGGAGCTGAGTTAATTCCACACAGCAGTGTCAAACCAGAGCTTGGGCTGATAGTTATAGCATGTAAACAGCAACAACAATGATGGCTCAGATGTTTCTAAGCAAATGTGACATGGGGCCATCAATCATGCTTACAGGGGCTCTTTTCCATAGGTAAGGACAGAAAACACAAGAGCCCTCATCCCTCATTGTCAAGAAGCCTTGGCATTTCTTTCAGGCAACAAGACAAAATGCGTTTAGAGGAAAAGGTGAACCCAGGTTGGTCCCAGTGGCAAAGGGGAAACCATGCGTGAGCAAAGCTTTGAGCAAACCGAAAACAAGAGGCCACACTTCCAGAAACATGACGCCTCGGGTCCCCAACACCAGGAAGCAGACGCGTCTGCTCCACCCAAGGTGCTCTGCCATGCCAGCGACCGTGCCTGCACTGACGAGGTGGAGACAGGCGCGCCGCATGCTGGGTGACCAAGTAACGCCATCACCTACAGCAGCACGAGACCGCACCCTCCAGCCCTACAGGATCTGGGCAGCAGCTCATGACTCTGAGCCCTGAGGACAGAGAAAGGAAGGAGGTTGAGGGGAGGGTCACCCCACATGGCCTGGGTCCGGAGGATATCTGGAGGCTGGAGGGCCATCCTCCCCTCTAATTGACAAGAGAGGGTGTTTTAGGTAATGATGGAAAAAGTTAGTCTCAGCCAGTCATCTAGTACCACTGAAAAGAGTAAGAAGGAGTCAAGAGCTAAACAAGACTTGAGGGAAAGGGTGACTGACCACATCACACAAAGATAAGAGACAAACAGGCAAAGGCAACAGGAGAGAGAATTCCCCAAATGAGAAATGTGAAGCAAACGAAAACACAGTCCACTCGTCTAGTGACCAGAGAAATGCAACTGAAAACTGGATACCGTATCTTTCCATCAGATTGATCAAAGTGAGAACCAAAGACAGTGGCCAGTGCTGGTGGGGAAACAGAGAAACAGGCATCAGTTCGTTTTCTGGAGGACAGGCTGCCAAGGCATAGCAGCAACTGAAACGTACTGGCCCAGCAATCCCACTCCCGGGCACCCATCCGAAGTGATGACAGATGTCACAGAGCACTGATTAAGGGGGTCAAGGGATGGAGATGAGCATACATGAAATGAGAAAACCCAATGAGGACATGCACCTAGACGAGAATTGGAATCTTATACAGTCATGAAAAGGATGCTGGGGAAGTATACTTTGGTGTGGAAAGATGCCCACGATACAGTGAGTGAGAAGTGCACCAGAGGGATCTGAGACCGAGCCCGTGTGTCTAGGAGGCTGGAGGCATCCAGGCTCCAGCTCTGGGCCTGAAACGCGACCCACAATCTCCCTGGATGGTGGGATATGAGGTTAGACTTACTTCCCCTGTTTTTGAGCACCTGAACTTTTTATGATCACAATCAACACGGTGTGTTTTAAGTGATTCTTAGTCTGGACGCTACAGTAATGAGGTTTTTACCAACGGTGTGTCTAGAAAGGAAGAACCCATCAGGTAATGCTGAGAAGGCAGAGCAAGAGATATACCACAAGTCAGGAAAGACGGGAGATGCAGTGTGGACCTTCCTCTGGAAGCTAGAAGCTCATCACAACATGAGCTTCATCGGAAGACGATTTAGAGTTTCTGTCTCCATAGAACCTGCAACTCCATAGCACATGCCAGAGGAGCCTCAAGCCTTCACTTACACAGTCACTTCTTAATAGAAAGAACCTGGGCCACATTTCAGACAGACGATGGCTGTGTTGGGCAAAGGGCTAGATGTGGTCCATCCACCCAGCCTTGCTTCTCAGGCCTCACTCCAATTTTAGGAATGAAAGATACGAACGGGAATTAGAAGGATGTCACTGGGCTGACACCTCCTTCCAGATATAAGCATCAGCAGGGCCAGTTCTCTCACTATTAGTCTAGTCGACAGACAGTAAATGAAAGTCTAAAAGCTTATCTATTTGTCCCCCATGTGGTACGATAAAGCTATTTTCATCTGGAAGAAGGAAAAGTAAATAGATTTACTTTTCTTGGATGGGCCTCTGTGAAAATAAGTATTAAAAATATTAATGAATAAATTAAAAAAAAAATAAATTCAAAAACAGTCCCCCCCAGCAGACTCAGATGGTATATTCTGGGCCAAGCCCAGACTTGGTTTCCGGTGGTGCCCACTGCCCTGACCCACGAGCCCCTCGTGCTCACCTGGGATCTTGAGGTTCAGGTCACAGATGCTCCCAACAGTGGCCACAGATGGGGCTCGACTGGTACGGGTAATGCTCTCCTTGACTCTTCCCTCCCCGCTGATCTTCACGGTAAAGGGGCTCCCTGCAAAAACCGAGCAGGCCCTTGAGAGCAGCCCAGAGGCCACACGTGGCATTTACAGAAAACCCAAGCACGGGACAGGGAGAGCAGATGGGGCCACACATACCAGGCACGTGCTCATCGGCGAATTTGGTGGAGACGATGTAAACGCCAGGCACGGTGGGGAAGTAGGAGACCTTGCAAGTGCCGTCCTCCAGGTCCTCTGTCTGGATGTCCACTTTGCTGGGGCCTTCCACGGCCAAGGAGATGCCGCCATAACCTGCAACACAGTAGCCCGTGGCTGCTATGACAGCAGCTCATCAGGAAGGGGGAGCCTGATGAATGCAGAAAGGACCTCCACCCCTGGAAATGCTCCAGAAAGCAGAAAGACAGTAACGGTGGCCCCTGTTGGACAGCGCTGGGCACAGGAGTCAGTTAAACGCTCTGAGAAATCCTGGAGTGAAATATCCTGGCTGAAGGTGGCCTTGACCACACTCTCTTCTCAAGGGTATCCACTAATATCCCACCGACCCTCTGTCCTGCAGAACCCGCTGCGGGGGACACTTTGACCACCTGCTTCCAGGAATGGCACGTGCTGTCTGGGGGTTTACTACCAGCTGCAGGCCTGAGAATTTGACATTTTTAACTGCTCCTAGCTGCCTCGGATGCCCAGCCAGGGAACCACTAAGACAGCAGATCTAAAGCTTTAATAACCTGAGGAATCAACAGAGAACATAAGCCCATCAGGACCACAAATTCTCCAGCTCCTTGCCTTGGGAAGGTGACTTTATCCAGAAATCACCAATGCAAGCCCATCACTCAAAAAGGCAGAAGGTGAAGACTCTGGGATGCGGAGTAGCTTGGAGTGGCCCAACCTAATTCGGACCATCTCTAAGAGGAAGCAGGAAGAAACTCCTCATTTGCACGAAAGCAATGCTCAGCTGAACATGACTTTGACCCGCTGGCCCAACATTCTTAGTTTGAGATGAGTCAAGGAGACCCTGGGGAGCTGAGACAATGGTGGGAATATTGATAATGAAACAGATCTGCGAGTTGTTGTGGCTCTGGGCTCACATGCCAGAAGCAGAGGGGGCTGCTAACCCTGCGAGCCTCAATTTTTTCATCTAGAAAACAAAGATAATACCTACTTTGCCACTGCTCTTGGGGCTTAAATGATAATCATGTAAAAGGGTCTATTGCTTGAAGGATGCTCACAAAGAAAAGAAGGTTGGCAGGATGAAAAGATGGAGTAACGTGAGCAGGAAGAAGCCAGTTCCAAAGCTCCGGCCTCTTCCCCTGGGACCACCCCCCACAGACCTGCATCCCTCGTGTCCACGATGAAGTCAGACATCTCGAAAGTCCGGCCTTCTGACAGGCCACGGCCGTAGACTTTGGCTCTGCGGGCATCCCCGATCTCTGACTGGACCACCATGATGGACACGGGGCTGTTGGCCACGTGGTTGCCGTTCTTCTTGATGCTGACCAGGTGTTCACCCACCTCCCGGGGGATGAAGGAGATGCCTGGACCAGAGCACAGATTGGGGGTTATGAGGTGGGAGGGAGGGGTGAAGGGGAGGAAGCAGGAGGGAGACACACTGGCAAGAACAGAAACAGGACTTCCTTCCTGACTTTCTGGCAACCCAGGGTGTCCAAGAGGCTCGTCAGCATCGTAAGGCAGAAATGCTTGGACTCTGACCACGCATGTGACCCAGCAGGTTTACCACATCACACTCCAAGGTGCTACCAACTTCCCAGGCAAGGACTGGGATCCCGGGCAAGGAGGGAACCCCCATCTCCCACTCAAGACGTCCCGGCTCCTGCCGGGAGGGCAGTCTGAGCTCACCGATGTGATTGTTGGGCAGCCTCTTCAGGAGACAGGGCTCGTCGCGGCCGGACGGGGCCTTGATGCTGGCCGTCAGGGTGCTGAGGTCAGTCTCACTGATGTCGAGCAGGAAGTCGGCGGCAGAGCCCAGCTTCACCTGAGAGCACCGTCTGCTGTCGTCTGGGAAACACCAGCCCCAACACAGCTCCATTACACGTGGTCACCCTGGCTCTCCAGAGCTCTCACACCACATGCCATTTATAGACGAACAGGCAAGAATTAATCACGCAAACTTAAGTGACAAAAACACTCCCCAGACAATAAGCAGACCTAACCAACGAAGAATGACTGCTACTTATGTCTGGTTACAGGGAGGACCTGAGTCCACACAGACCACATTTATAACCCACTGAGAGCATGATCTGAACAGAGAGCACAACAGGGGTCAGAAGCAGGGCTTTGAGTCAGATAATCTCCACCTGAATCCCAGAATACCCACATGAACTTGGCTAAGCCAGTCTCTCCAACCCTCAGTTTTCCCATCTGTAAAAGGGACACAAAAATCTATCCAGAAGTGATGCTGACGAGCATCTCTGAGCTCACTCATGCAATAAGTATTATTTGAATGCCTCTATCTGAGGGCCTCCTTATTTGGACGCTGGAGTCAGACTGGCACAAATAAGTGCCCTCCAAGTGATGTGCTTGCTTTTCCTGGGATTACCAGCTGAAGGAGGAATTTAGCCTATCTAATGTTGGCCTTGCACCCCTAGTTTGTTCCCAAGGAGATGCTGTGAAACCTAAATCTCAGATGTGCCTAGCCTGCTGCCCCAGGTGTGATGGGAGGGGGGCCTAGTGGGGCAGGGAGTCTCCAGCCAGTTGGGCAACTCTACCTGTGATCTTGGCTGTGAAGGGGCTGCCAGGGATGTGTTTGTCATTGTACTTGACCAGAATGCTGTAGTCGCCTGGCAGGGTGGGCAGGTAGGTCACCGTGCATGTCCCATCTTTGTTGTCAATGCAGCTGATTTCCGCCTTTGAGGGTCCCTCAATAGCCAAGTCCAGGCCACCTGTGAATGAATGAGAGGAGGGAAGGAGAGCCATCAGGGAGGGTGTTTCTGTGTTTCAAAAGGGATCACCGCTCATCCGGGACAGCCCTGCTGCCAGGAACGTCAGCCTGACACAAGCCACGGACAAGGGGCGTAGGTCAGAACAAAGCTATTTACATGGTGAAAGCGTCATTGGGAAGACACTCCACCATCTGAATTCTTCCTGCAAGTGACCCTGAAGTTCAATTCTTCCATATGTGTGGGACGAGGAAGGGATGGAACCCCACGCGCCAATCACACGTACGGGAGAGAGTGTCACACACGGACTATCACTGCTGCTTGGGGGCTGGATGCCATCATGAAAATCCCATTAGAATCGCAAATTTAGAAATTCCTGTGATGACAATGCCCATGGGCACAGAGCTAGAATAAGCCACTAAATGATTCATGTGGCCCTGTGGATACATGTACAGGTGCAAGAAGAACAAAACCAAAAATGTTATCTATCAAAACACATGTAAATTTCAGGAAAGTCACATAAAACATTTCATAGTATGAATGTGATTTTAATCAGAACACGAAGGACTTTAAAATTTCTGTTTTGGGTAGAAGACAGAGGAGCTCTACATAAGAGATTTATATGAGAGAAAAGACAAGACAGATACTACCATTCAAGAGCCTTATTTTTAAAGGCTTCCCTGGAATTGCATCCCCTTAACTCTCCAAATGACAGCTGAGACCCACAGAACCACAGTACCTTCTCCTGCGTCCTCGGTGACAATGGTGAAGGTGGCGGTTTTGTTGGCCACTCCATACACCAGGCCCGGGCCATATGCAGAAACACTCCCGCTGTTGGGGTAGTTCACGTAGAACTGGAGCGGGCTCTCTGGGTTTGCAAAGAACACACACAAAGTTGGGACTCATAGGGGGTTGGGGGGATTCACCTAACAGCAGCGGGTGTGGCATCTCCTGGGCAGAGCAGAACGCAAGAGGAGACTCTGTGGGGCTCCCCATCCTAGGATACCCAAGGGGGTCTACTCACTATCGACCCTTCAGTGATCACATGAGAAAAACAGTCCCCAGGGTGCTCCAGACTGGAGGGGGGCTGAGGCAGGGGAATCTGGCTCAAATGGACAAGTAAGGAGGGAACAGCTACACCGGGGCTGGGTGATGGGGGGGAGCAGTGGAGAAGAGAAATGACCCACTATAGATGGAATGTGACTGGAAAGGTCCTTTGGGAAGGCCGTTTGCCCATGACTTTCAAAGTCTGTGAGCCCAGCCCGAGGAATCTATCCCACTGTGGTCCTCTCCACTCAGGCCCACTCCCAGCCCTAGGCAAGTACTTCCATTTCCACAGAATTCAGGTGCAAATTAGGAAAAGAACCCAGGGTCCAACAACAGGGGGGTGGTTAAATCAACATTAGTCTACTTGCAGGTCACTAAAAATAATGAGGGAGATCTATGTATACTAACTTGAGAGATTAGCCATATGTGTTGCATTAAAGAGAAAAAGGCAAATTGCTACATAAATGTCAATATCCCATTATATTAATACCCTATATAATATTAACACCTATTATAATACCTATATAATAATATATACCCATCATAATACATTCCTATGTAATATTAATACCATTATCCCAGTCCAAAATAGAACAAAATTGCATGCATATTTGTAGGTACAGAGAGAGACATTTGAAAAGATACACACACCAGCATTGGAAGTAGAAGGAAAATGGTAGAAGGACATTTTTACTTTTTCTGTATCTGCATCTTTAGAACATTTAAACAGAAGCAGATAAATACACATACACATAAACTAAAGCAAAAATCAAACTGGGAGAAGTATGTGCAACTCCTATCACAAAGGGCTTATCTCTCCAATATTTAGCCTGCTCTCAGAAACTGATATGACAAAGGCCAATCGCCCAAGAGAAAAACTGAGCCAAGGATACACACGTCCAGTTCAGAGAAAAAGAAATACAAATAGCATGGATACTTAGCCATATAGAAAGTCGCTCAATTTCATTCACAGGAGAAATACAAACAAAGCAATACTGGTTTTTAACTATCAGTCTGGCAAAGATCCAAAAATTTGAGAGCCTATTCCACTGGCAAATTGGCGGAAAAGCAGGTGCTCTCCTGCATGGCGGGTGGGTATGTGAACGGGAAGAGATTGCGTGAAGGGCGCGTTGGTGAGATCTGTCAGAATTGCAGGGCTGTTGCCTGTGCCCTGCAATTCCTGCCCTGGGAACCAAATATCTCAGATACACCCTGGCAGGTGTGAGATGATGGGTGTGCAAGGCTATTATTCACTGCAGCATGACTAGTAATCACAAAAGGTGGGGAAGAACCCAATTGTCCTCCAGTGGGAGAAATGGTTCACGTGTAACGTTCACCCAAATGGCCGGACACCATGAACACTCTCTACTATTCAGATGTGCAAAGTTCTCCAAGATATACTATTAGATGAAAAGGGCAAGGTCAGAATAATGTGTAGCGTAGGCTACTGTTTATGTAACAAAGGGAGAGGGATTAAACATCTGTATTCCCATCTGTTGTAGAGTCTTAAAAATATTCTGAAATCTAGCATAAAACATCAACAACAGTCAGGTTCAAGGAGAGGGCAGATGGGGGATATGGGTGGGAAGGAAACCCTTCTCCACATCATTTTTAAACTACGTAGATAGGTTATGTACTCAAAAAAAAAGAAAAAGAGTAACACTGCTGGTTGATGGACATGAAACTTGAGCTGGCTTTCCTTGTCAAGGGCAGTGTGACAATAAGGCAGCTTGTCCTCTTCTCACAACCTCTTCTCCCGTCCCACGCTGCTCTGGGCTCTGCAGGTCTGGCTGGAAAGTCCCTTGACGTGCCTCACATTTTTCTCCCAGCTCACCCTTTGGCCATGCTTGGCATAGTGACAAAGACAAACAATCGCGGACCGAAGGGCCTGCACTGTGACCCAGGACACTTAGCTGTGTCATCCCTGCTGGAAATTAGCTGGATCTGCTGGGGTCACAGCCTGTTTGGTTTTGCAGGGACGCCTACACTGCATTCCCAAATCTGCCACTGAAAACCACACAGCAGGTGACTGAACGACTGACTACAACCTCCCAGATGTTCACGTCCTGAATCTTGGAGTCCTGCAGGGCCAGGGCGCTGCAGTCAGCCAGGGTGCTGAGCCCGACTTACCAGGGATGTGGCTGCCCATGTATTTGATGTGCATCTCGTGGAGCCCGACCTCAGTGGGAGCGTATCTGACAGTGACCGTGCCATCCTTGTTGTCCACAATCTCAGGTGTGGCTGTCTTCCCAGAAGGCATGTGGACCTCTCCTGTTGGAGCACATGGAGACGGGGCAGTGAGCCCACCAAGACTTCCCCCGAGAAGCTGAGCACAGAGGCACACGTGGCCTTCACAATAAAGGTTTTCAGATACAAGAACACTTGACACCATTGCCTAAAACACCACGTTCCACAACCGGAAGCAGAGACGTACCTGCCTTTATTTTGTTCTATTTTGTTTCCACAAAATGCAGCAGGCAACTCACAAGTAAAGGGTCTTCTACTTTTGTACTGATAAATGAGAAGCTCAGACAGGACTTGAGAAGACCATGAGACCAAATGGATTGGTAAACCATCAACTCAAAGAGAAGCAGGCATTGAAAGGAGGCTAGGAGAGGAAGTAACTCTTGTACAACAGACCTCAGTGTCAATGTCACATCTGGAAAAGTGGAAAAATAAGAGAAGGCAAGAAAAGGGGGGAATAGGAACGTGATGGTCGAGAGAGATCTAAACACAGTGGTTCTCCCCTTACAGAGCATCTCCGGCCCTCTCTCCAGGATGCAAGTTATAAATGAACCACCTCTTCTGAGATACACATATACACACAGGACATTCTGCAATCCCATGGGCTCATGGACTGACCCAGGGATGCTGGGTTCCGGACCCCAGGTCTGGGGGACAGGTGGAACCAGCTCCTGCGCACTGTTTGGAGAGCTAGTGCAAGTGAGTGAGAACAAGACGGCTTTCACGACAGTGCTTACCGGTGATTTCTCCTTTCCTGACTGCAAACGGAATGACCAAGTCGAAAGGCTTAAACCCCAGGCCGTTCATGTCACTCACTGGGACATAGGCCTCTTCAGTTACCTAAAAACAGGAAGCAGTGGTCACTGGGTAAAGTGGACAACAGTGTGAGCTGGGGAAGCTACAGGGGGCAGAGCAACTGGGAATTTTGCAAGCTCGTACAGACAGGATTTGGGGATGCGGCTGCCCATGCGTTGCGGGCTTTGGCTAACGGGCTCTGGAGCCAGAGCAGAACCTGAAGCATTGAAGGAATCATGCTGACCAATTGCTAAAAATCCCTAGGCTGTTTGCTTGTGAAATTCCCAGTAGCGCCCATGGGAAAGCGGAAAAGTGAGAGACAGCAATGTCTGTGAGTCCCAAGAGGTTCCACCTGGAAAGGTTTAGTTGCCTGTGGCCTGGAAAAGAAGGTGCGTTTTAAGTGGCAGAAAGTAGCAGCGGTGGCTTTCCCCCTGAACAGAAACCAAATGTGCAAGTGGTGGCTTTTAGAGTCTGCAGGAGGGCTGAGACAGCTGTCCATCTTTCTCTTTAAACGTGGAGACAAACTGCACCGAGCGTGATCACAGACATGGTGGCGGGCGATTCGTGGAGCGCGAACGATGACACAGGTGGGTCTCATTAGAGAAAGCCGGAATCATTGTGATGCACTGATCAGTGGGGACAAACCAATGACCAGGACACCCAGAGGGTTTAAGCAATCCCCAAAAGCAGGCTGCAGCTTTTCTGCAATGAAGGCTGAGGAAACAAAGACATGGAAAAGGGAAAAATAAAAACAAAAAGTGTACCCAGGGCCTGAATCCGGGGGGACATGCATTTACCGGTGCTTCCTCCACAGCTGCGACTTTCCCATCTGTGGCCTGGTCAGTGGCAAATGGAAATTAGTTGGGAATCACATTGAGGGACATTGCGGCTCAGTAGATTCTACAACCCGAGGGCTGCTTCCTCCCCATCTGTCTTGCCTAGCAGAGAGCTACTCCCTGTAGCGGGAGCCTACCTTCTTCCCACCATTGTGGAGAGCAAGTTGGCATCTCCTCTTCCAATGTCAAATCCATATGCCCTATGAACCCATGACCCACTTCTAGGAAGCAAGCCTATAGAAATACCGGCAGGAAAGTCTATAGGTAAGTCATGTGTGCAAAGGATTTTACTGGAGCCATTCATTGTTGGGAAAGGCTGAAGTAACCTAAATGTCTATCTGTAAGGGAGTCGGTTAAGTAAATTATATAAGTCTGTACAGTGGATGCCGGTGCAGCCATTCTGAAGAAGCGATCAAGTCAGATCAATTAATATGGAAGGGTATTTACAGCATATTGAGGGAAGGAAGCAAGTTGCAAAGCAATGTGCATGGTTAATCTCATGCACAAAACTGACATGTTTCTTGTATAAGCAGGAGAAAACCTAATGCTGGTCACCCCTGGAGCATGAAATTGGGAAAGGGGTCTCTTGTTACTTGGTATGTGTCTATAGTTATGTTCTAAAAGTTCTTATAAGTTCATTTTTTAAAAACCAGAGACTTTGTGTTCCTGATCCCATCACCCTGATAAGGTATGGGTCCCCTCTCAGTTCCTTCTTCTCCCACAATAAAAGAATTGGAAAGCCTCCCTTCTGGAGGAAAACGTCCGTGCTCATGGTTAGCCCCTTTTGTGTATTCTGGCATCTCAGAAAGGGGGCTTCACTTACAAAGGCAGCTTTGTAAGCTTCAACGTTTGCAACAGCCCTATCCCCCACCCCCTGGACCATCTCAGGTTGGGCGACTCTGGGACACATCAGCCGGGAAGATCTTTCAGTGGCTACGCTATAGCCTTTGATCAGTGACTTCTTTTTTTTTTTTTTTTTTTTCTTGGCGGTACACGGGCCTCTCACTGCTGTGGTCTCTCCCGTTGCAGAGCACAGGCTCCGGACGCGCAGGCTCAGTGGCCATGGCTCACGGGCCTAGCCGCTCCGCGGTATGTGGGATCTTCCCAGACCGGGGCATGAACCCGTGTCCCCTGCATCGGCAGGCAGACTCTCAACCACTGCGCCACCAGGGAAGCCCTGATCAGTGACTTAACAGTGACAGGCAGAGAAGCTGCTAGACCCGTGACTTGCTGTGCACGTCTGTGAGATGTATTTAACTGAACCAGCCTGCTGGGGCTCCTGCAGACATTTGCTGCAAAGGCAGTACAGGGTGTTCATGTCCTTTTGGCCCCAAGCCTGCAGGGGAAGACAGCGAACCTAGCCCCAAGAGGCCAATGAATAGAAAGTGAGCCCATCTAGGTAAGGCTGGAGGAAGCTAGGAACGGGAGAACGAAGACCTAAAGCATGTGCCCTGAGTGTCATCCCTTCCTGCCTTCAGCAGTTGTTAGGGGGCTAGTGCGTTTTACACAAAGCATCCTTGCTCTGTGTGCATTCCAGGGCTGAATGGACTTTCATTCCTAACGAGTTTGGTGGCCTCCACTGCAGGTTTCTGACTCACCTGCTAAAATGGTCCTTGGTATTTTCTTCCTGATTTCCTCACTCACACCCTCCAAATGTGGTCTCTTATCTCCAGCCCATCCCACCAGCAGGGCTGTGACCTCTGCCCAATTCTAACCAACCAGATAAAAACTCCTGTGGGCTAAAAACAGATTCTTACAACTACAACTGGGACTTCTCTGTAAATAAGAAGGACATAAACTTTCTAGCTGCATCTTTTTCTCCCCTGAGGAGAAAAACACTCCCAAATTAACAGCGTCAAAAGTGTTTACATCCTCGAGACATAAAAAGGCTCCAGGTCTCTGGCACAACGTTTATAGATAAACAAACATCTATGGAAAAGAATAAAGGTTCAGCAGATTATAGAGTGGGAGACAGACACGGGCTTCTGTCTGGAATGGAGTCTTCGTGTCCTTCTCTGCTGCTGCATAAAGTGAAATCATTAGATGGAGCTTTGTAGGCTGTGCGTGGGGCCAGGCCACTGAGTTCTGTAAACTTTGTGGTCTGCTGCCCATGGCATCAAAGGACACAGGTGAGGACGGTGCTCAGCAGCTGTCCAGAGCAGGCAGTCTGGGTTCAGTGGACTTGAGTCTGATCCCCGCTCCTACACAGCATTTGTAAAAGGGCCAACAATGCTTAGTTTTAAGGGTTAAATGAAGGACTGCTCCTGAGGTTTCTAACCCCTTTCCTGGTTGAAGAACCTCAATAATCAAAGGAGGATCTAAAAGTCACTCAGATTTGAAAATTAAAGGGCCGAGCCATTCTCTGGCTCAGAGGTTTTGCATAATGGTTTTCTTTTATTCCAGATGTTCCTAGCTTCAAAAAGACAAGTTATTTCCCCCTCATCATCAAAGTCTGAATCTTTCCAAAACACAACTGGAGGTACTTTGAGTCCTGGGATATCAGAGTCAAGTCTCCAGACATAACAGCCTCGGGAACCTCTCTCCTCCAGGGGAGGAGAGAGGAGGAAGAACAAGCAGGATGAAAAATTGTAATGTTTTACTCATAGACGTTTTTGTCAAAGCGTATCTTTCTGAGCTGGGCTTAGGCCAGGACATTGCCTAAGATCCTTAAGAATGATGGACACTCTGGTTGCCAGTGATTTCCTAAAACCCCTTAGAGCCAAAGGGTCCCTGGGTTTCTAGAGATTACACAGGATTCTTCAAGGTCATGACTGCTTAAGACAATTTTTTTTTACAGAAAAGAAAAAAAAAGTGGCCGGGGATGTCTCAGCCAGGGTGTAACCAACAGCAGTCATTACTGTTCCTGCTAACAACAGCATGCTCTAGAGAAGGAATTTTCCTTACCATGACAGTGAAGGGGCTGTTGGGAATATCAACGCCACCAAAGCGCACGTAGATGACATAGGTGCCCGGCTTGGCGGCCGTGTAGAAAATGTCATAGGTGCCATCCTCATTCTCGATGACATCAGCCTCAGCCTCAGTGCCGTCTGGGGTCAGAACCGTGCAGGTCACTTTGCCTTTCCCGGCGGTCTTGGCGTCTACCACAAAGCCCACTTCCTCGCCAGTTTTCACAGTGGAGGCGATTCCAGGACCTGCAGAAAAGTTTAGGAGGAGAGAGTGGAAGCTTCAGCCATGGACAGCAGCCGAAGGCCCAAGAACAAATCACACACGTTCGTGTTGTATCTGTGAATGTTAGACCTTCAACTACCGCCGTGCAGAGGGATGTCCCAGAGATGCCCTGGGGAAGATGCTGCTCCAGGGAGCATTCTATCCATTACTTATTAAATAAGGTGTATCTGCAAGTTCTGAGTGATAACCATGTGTTAAACCGGCTTTGCCAGCATTCAAGTGTATGGGGATGAAGGTCAACTTTCATCAGCAAACACATATTGGGCATTTTCTTAAGTGCCAGATACACACAAAGGTGAGCAAACCACAGCCTCAGCTCTCAATATGCTCAAAATCTAACAGGGCAGATGCATGCAGGCTGGACACCAAGAATGACAGCTCAATCTGTGTTGGAAACACCGAGGGGGGACTAAGTTATCAAAAAAATAATCAATGGTTCTTCAAAGAAGCATCCTGCAGCACATCTGTGGAAAGTTCTATGAATTTATATCCCAGGGTTGCCACATTGACAGAGGGCTTCCTGACAAAGGGGAAATGGCTGAATTCTGAAGCCTGGGTACCCTTGGCTAGGGAAGACTTACAACCTCTGTCTCCAAATGATGACCCGTCTATCTGTCTGTCTCTCTGGCTTGTGGCACCCCTTTACTGAGGATCCACAGATCAGGGAGTGCAAAAAACTATGAATTAAAAGCACCCTGGCAGAAAAAAAAAAGCAAAGTGTGTAGAAGCGACAGGGAGTGATAAGAACATGCTGAGACAGTGAGTAGTAAGGGAAGACTGAAGTTTGGCGCTGAATGACAGACTGAGAGGTAGGGCCAAAGGAGCCCCCAGGCTGATCAGAGTATCCTGCCTGAGCTGCGGGAAGGAGGAGAGCCTGGAAAGCCAGGAGGAAGTTCCCACCCAGTATTCACATGCCCTCAGGTTGGCAAAGACAATCCAGTTGTCTCTGGAACAGCATAGACCTAGGAGGTGGCAGACTGGCCATCGTTACAAAATTGCTCAGTCTTGTGGTGGATGAGCCAAAAAGCGCCAAGCTGAGCAATTTACAGCCTCACCCTGAAAGCCAAAAGATTTTCTCCTTTCAGAACAAGACGAGAGGGCTTCCCTGGTGACGCCTGCCGAGATGCAGGGGACACGGGTTCGTGCCCCGGTCCGGGAAGATCCCACATGCCGCGGAGCGGCTGGGCCCGAGAGCCATGGCCGCTGAGCCTGCGCGTCCGGAGCCTGTGCTCCGCAACGGGAGAGGCCACAACAGTGAGAGGCCCGCGTATCACACACACACACACAAAAGAACAAGACGAGATATGAGAGAAATAGGACACATCCAGGGTGGACCTCTGTTTAGTTTTATTTAAAGAGAAGCAAATCAGTTTCACTTCAGAGATGGGGATTCATGGTTTGAAATCTGCTTGAAGCAACATCAGGGTTGCCCATGATATTCAATTGGTCATGTCTTAGAAATGGAAGGAACTGTTATGCTCTAATATTCCTGGAGAATTCCCGAGAGACTCAGACGTGAGTCCTGAGTGTTGAGGAAAAACCTAGATCCTTTCATGTGCTTCTCTAGCCCTGGCCTGAAATGCTCTTGAATATATCTCAAATAACTAAACCATCTACTCATGAAAGGCATAAATTTGATGCTTTTCATGGGAGCCACAGTTGAAATCGCAACAACTGAAATCTCCACAATCACCCACTTCAAAAGTAACTGTAATAGTTTCCATGTGCCTGGCACTGTGCTAAGCACTTTTCATGTCTGATCTCATCTAATCTCTGCAATAACAGTCTCTGATCCTTGGAAGAGCTTCTTGAACTTAAATGTTTTCCAAAAAGATCTTCCATCTAAGTCTGCCTGAGGCTAAGAGTGGTGGAGCATCTTGCCCTGATCACACAGCTATTAAGTGGCAGACGCTGGCTTTCTGATGCCAAAACACACGCCCCTGTCCTTGAGCTGCACTCACCTGTGGCCAGGCACTTGCTGGCATCGCCCGTCTGTGTGGCCCGGATGCGGTAGGGAGACAACGGGATGTCGTCCCCACCGTAGGTGACCCCAATCATATAACGTCCAGTCTTGTCGGGGATGTAGGTAACAGCGTATGTGCCGTCTTTATTGTCATGGACAATGGCTCTTTTGGGTTTTCCCTCTTGGTCCTGTGGATCACAGAGAAATGCTATTTAGGATGTTGTCATCAAGATGTAGAAAGCATTCAAAGAAAACCTTGACAGATTCTGCTCATTAATTAATGCCTCTAGCGGGAGGAAAAAAGAATTACTGGCTTAATACATTTTGGGAGGTGGTGGGAGCAGAGGGTCATAGATCCCTTTAACACTGTGATGGACATGGTCAATTTTTAGTGAATTTTCCGTCAAGGGAACGAACAGTTTTAGCTCCAAATCCATCGAAATGTAGGGAGACAAGGGGGCAGAGGCTCCTGCTTCTGCACCAGCACCTTCACTCTCCCTTCCGTCTTTACTAATAGGAACCTAATTCTTAGCTAGGTATGCTGCTTCCAGAATACGAGACGCCACTTCCTAGTATCCTGGGCCACTAGGTACAGCCATGGGACTTATGACAAACGAGAAGAGAGTGGAAGTCTCATGAGGGACTTCTGACAGGGCTGCTTAAGAGAGCTGATTGAGTTGGAAGGTCCCATTGTCCCTTCTGCTCTCTTCCTCTTTCTGGCGTGCCATGTGGATTGGATGGCCAGAGCACCAGCAGGCTCATGGTCCATGAGGAGACCTTAGGGACAGAAGCCACACGTTAGGACACAGGAGCGGAGAGGTGGAATGGAGCCTGCTTCCTTGATAAGCACATAGCACCCAGGCGCCTTGCCCGGCCTCTGGGCCTGTCTAACAAGAGAGAACTATCCCATGTGTTTAAGCCACTCTTATTTGAGGGTTGACTGTGATATGCAGCAGAACTTAGTCTTAACTAATCCAAAGGGTAATTTTAAACATTCAAACAACAAAAGATAGGAATAGATATGACAGAGAGCAAAATATATGAGATTCACCAAAATGTGGTACTTGAAGCTATACTCTCAGACTTCTCAGGCAAACCTGTCTGTTGTCCTGTACAATTACCGACTCTCTAGTGAGGAAATCAGACAAACATTTGTGTGAGGCTAGAAATTAGTTGTTAAAATCCTGGTTCTTATCCCTGGCTGCGAAATTAGGTCTTATTAATGAAGTTTGGCTCCAGAAAAATCATTCAAGGTTACCGTTATCTGAACAGCAAGCAGGCCTTCCCCGGCATCTCTGGCATCGATGGCAAACTCCACAGGCAGGCTGGCAGGCACACCATAGGTACTGAGGCCAGGGCCACTGGCGGTCACTTTGCTGGCATCGTATGTGGGAAGGACCTTGACCTTAAAGGGACTTGACAGACATACACACCCCAGTTCAGTATGGATACACTTCAACCCATCTACATCTGACCTCTCTTACACAAGAGACTGGGATTGAGAGGGAGGATTTCTACAGCATATAAGACTTAAGTGCCAAATCCAGTAGAAATTTACAACCGTGTAACCATCATCCAACAGACCAGCTTTCCATAAGTGCATTCCATGGGTTACAAACTAATTTCCAAATTAGTTTGGCAAACATGGGGTTAAACACATTTAACCCACTTTTGTTTTACTAACACAATGATCACCAAAATGGAAAGAAAAAATATTAAAACTGATGTTTCAATATTATCTTGTCCTCTTATTTTCTATTTTTAGTATGTTTTAGATGATTTAAGACCTATTAGTCAAATACCACATAAATGTAATTTATAAATTTTACCTTTCCACAGAGCTAGAGCTATATGTGTACCTTCATGTAAAAATATGCACATTTGGGGTACAGGTGAAACTTTTAAATTCTAAGTATGATAAAAAAAATCTTTGGAGACTCTTCTGAGAGGTAAAGAACTTTAAGCAACATTTTTTCTATTAATAGGAATGAGGAACAGGTTTTTATTCAACACCTTCTGGGAATGCTATGGCCAACCAAATTCTCAATTAAGAAGTAAAAATTTTTGCCCTAATCAGAAAACGAGTTGCATGGTCACCAGAAAGAAGACCTTGATGAACTAACGCACTCCTTACTGTCAGCTCACCTTTACATTAAAGATGGCTGAAAGGAACAAATGCAGGGGGGGCACGAAGAGAGCAGGAGGCACAAACATCAAGGCTAGTGTATTTTAACACCTGTGCAGAGCACGCCGGTTCTCAGTGATGCTGATCAGATGGATGGCTGGGTAAACGAGTGGACGGATACGTGGATGGATGGATGCGTGGGTGGGTGCACAGATGGATGGATACATGGATAGATGAACGGATGGGTGGGCCACCAGAGCAGTGCTGGTCACCAGAGGGGTGGGCTTGAACCCCTTCCCTAAGTGACAGAAGCTTACCTACGAGGGATCTCTTCATCAGCATATTTAACAGAGACCATGTAAGGCCCCTCCTGGGACGGGGTGTAGGTCACTGTGTGTGTGCCATCCCCATTGTCCACCACGTTCACGGGCTCCACCAGACCTGAGAACAGAGACGAGAGGGCTGAGGAACTGCCTGGCTTCCCCTTCACTCCACCTGGGCTGAGTTCATGAAGGATCACATTCATCCATGAGAGCTATTGGTTTCCACTGATAACACAAAGGCAAGCAGGCCATAATCAGAGGCCTAAGAAATCACAGGAGAAAGATTCCCCAATTCACAGCTGCAGAAATGACCCTGAGAGACACCTTTAGCTTTCTGTTGGCTGAACTACACTCCGTCGGACCTAGAGTATAATTAAGGAGACTGCCTGCACTTGTTGCTGGAGGGCATATGGTGAAGATGCTTGTTGCAGACATGCTATCCTTTCAAGCTGGTTAGGCATGCTTGGGATGAGGTAATTTTACTCTACAGCCAAGAAAGGGTCAAAGAGTCCAGATCTCTGAACAGCAAAATTTAACCAATGGGCCAGCCAGTTAAAACTTGTATCCAGGGGCTTCCCTGGTGGCGCAGTGGTTGAGAGTCCGCCTGCCGATGCAGGGGACATGGGTTCGTGCCCCGGTCCAGGAAGATCCCACGTGCCACGGAGCGGGTGGACCCGCTCCGTGCATGGCCGCTGAGCCTGCACGTCCGGAGCCTGTGCTCCACAACGGGATAGGCCACAGCAGTGAGAGGCCCGCGTACCGCAAAAAAAGAAAAAACCAAAAAAAACTTGTATCCACCTCTGAGCAAAGACCATCATGGCAGCAGCATGCTGGGTGTAGGGTGCAGGGCAGGTGAGGTGCTGATCTCATGAGGGTGAGAGGGCTCTCAATGTGACATCTGCAGGGGATGGTTAGAGGACACTTTAAAGCATAATCAAGGCATGCATTAGGTTGGTAGATTCTAGATCCCAGTTCTGAACCTGAGTGTCAGGATGCATCAGCTGAAGGGTAGGTAGATTAATCAAAGTGCGGCATACTCATTAAGCAATGCACATGAGGCAGGTACGAGGCAATTTCAGAGTTAAGGCCAGCAAGAGACATTCGGGTTACGTAAATCAGAGCAGCAGCTAATAGGAAAATGCAAACCTGTCTCCATAAAGTCACCCTTCAGGTCCCGTTTAAAGAACTCTGACATGGCTTTCAAGGGGCTGAGCCTTGACTGGGAATCCGTCTCATCAGCTAAAATTAAAAGGCTGTTATTTCAGAGTCCTCTGTAATAGACGTAGATATCTCAGCAAAGCTTTTCTCTCTTTCTCCCCTCTGCCCTGCCCTGTCTCTCTCTCTCTCTCTCTCTCTGTCCCTCTACCCCGCCCCCACCACACACACACACAGGTCTTGAAGCTCAGTAACTTTGTGGAATCAGATTCCAGCCCTATGACTTCATTTCCCCCAAAACCATTTCTGCTCTGAGCTTCAAAGGGCATAACCTCCTGCTGAAACCCATTAAGGAGAAAGTTCCTCTTCAAAGAAGGAAGCCCTCATTTGCCACTTCTGTGAAGCCAAGAACACATCACTGAGTAAAAATCCAGATAAGTTAAGATATTAGGCAGAGAATGGCACATTTTAAATGCTGGAAGAGGAAGTGTGATCACCTACTGAAAAAGGTAAATTTCAACGCACATCAGGGCTTGTCCCAAAATGGCCTGCTAGCCTCACCCAACCCAAATTCCAGGCTGCAAAAGGGGAGGCCAAGTTGCCAGCAAAGCCCATTCCCTAAGAGACCACCTCTCTCCAGGGAGCTGGGACAATGACAAAGCTACGTGTCACATGGGCTGAGTATTGCTCATTTCCAGAAATCTGGGGTGTGTTCCCACATGAGCACCAAATCCAACACCCACGCAAATCCAGACCCACCCCAGTCACCTCACAAATGCTGAAACACATCATTAAGCAGTTGCGATAATTTTACATGTGAGAGCCCAGATACTACTTGCTTCATCTTTCTACTTTCAAAAAATAAAACAAAATTTTAAAAAGACATTTAGGGTCATATTATTAAATGACAGAAAAGACAGGCCGCCGGAAAAATAACAGGCCTGCCAATTTTTTAAGCATAAACTTCTACAGTTTAGCTAGAACATGGAGCAATAAAGTAATTTAAGAAATTTAACCTAAAGTTCATGACTAAACTCAAAAGCAAAGTGCCTGCTCTGGGTCATGGCTGCCCCAGTCCAGGGCAGGTGTCGGCAGGAAGGCAGGATGTGTACTTACCTCGTGGGCCCATGACCCTCACTTCCAGTGGGGCCAGGCCGGCCTTGCTGCTGTCCACCGTGAAGGACTGCAAGACACGAGCTCGGACACCCGAGCCCACCCCAGGGCCAGCGATCTTGACCTTGCTGGGGTCCACAACATCCTTCACAGGAACCCTGAAGGGGCTGCCTAGAAAAGAGGTCACAGGATTCTAAGTACAGCCCCCCCTAGTGCCTGGAGACCCTCCTTGTGTGCACCCAGAATTGCACCATTGCTCTACCCAGGCCTTCACTTACACCAGCCCCAGTCAGTTTCTCCTGCCTTGCTGTGTTGTGCACCCAAGTGCACCTACTGTGTACAGACATGGCGCCAGGTTCTGGGCCCAGAGTGCTTAACAGCTCTCCAGGAACCCCATGCAGGAGAAGGATGAGGTAAGCAAGTCACTGTAACATCATACACAACCCATGTTGGGGACTTGTATAAGGTGCTGGTGGAGCACTCAGAAGACAATGAATCTGGTCTCTGGGAGACCAGAGGACGCTTTCCAATAACATATGAGACATATGGGTGAGCAGATGTCACTGAGAAGGGTTTCAAGCAGAGAGACTGGCATGTGCAAAGGCCTGGAGGTGAGGGAGAAGACAGGCTGTTGAAGGAACTGAAGGAACTGAGTGGTGGAAGGAAGGCATGGAGAGGACTGCAGGCTGTGCAGTCCACATTCAACATCCTCTCCCATAAAAGGCTCCTCAGGGGCCCCTGGACTCCTGGCCCTGCAACGTAGCTAGCACCGCCCTCCCACCACCACTCATGGCTTTCTTGGTTCCCTGGCCATTTGGGTGAAGCCTTGCTTTCTCCCTGAGTGTAAGCTGTGGTCCCCCTGCATGGCTGACCCCACCGCTGACACTGGGGCCCTCTGACTCTTTGAGGGTATTGATTTTAAGAAAGCACCACGCTCCATGCTGGAGTTTAGTGATACAAAAGGGAGTTTTATTTTAAAGAGAGATCGTTGAGGATTTCAGTATCAAGAAGTGATGGCAATGAACTAACTTTGAAGCCAGTCTCCAAGGTGGCCTCCAATGGAAGTGGTCTGAACTCAGCATGAAGTAGCCAAGAACCAACAAGGTAACTTTAGGTCTAGAGTGGCAGATACCAGGCAATCTATGCCACTCTCCCATTCTGTGCTCCAGGCAGACATGATCAATCAATCACAGCAGCCTTTCTTCCTGACGCAGTCATCCCACTTAATCCAGTGGTCAAAACAGCCATCACCAACAGACCACAGCTGACCCACCAGAGGAAACCTGGATATGCCATCGCGGGTAAGACAGGATACTTGGTTAAAAATAACCCTACTATGGGTTTGTGTCAGGCCAGGAAAAACCAGGCTAATATTTAACCAACCAGAATTTCTATGAAAGCAAATTAGAAGCTACCAGGTTGTTGAATGTTTCACAGCAGAACCTCATGCGCTACCTTTGCTATGAAGCCTGACACTAAGACAATCAACCAACGCTTTACTGAATGACTCTGACTGGGAAAATTCTGGGGTCCAGGAGAAGTTGGCATTTGGCTCTGGAAGGCAAAAGAGCCTGAAAAATAAAAAAGAGGCACCATCTACATCTGATGAAAAAAACCCTAAATGGGTCTCTTTCTGTTGTTATCCTCCAAGTTGGTCATTCGCTTCAAGCTTGTGCATCAGCCACAGGGGCCCAACCTCTCACCCCCTTCTGCAAGGGGAATTCCAAAGCTGATGGCATCCACCAGATTTTCTCAATAAGGTCAAAATAGTTTTGTTGCCTCCACTACCAGGAAATGCTCATCCCACTACTGCCTGCCTGGTGGGAGCCACCAGGTCATCTGCCCTGGCAACAGCCTTCTACCCATTCTCCAAGCTCTATTCTCCCATCCCACGAAGTGCACAGTTGCAAAACTCCAAAAGGTCCTCTTGGCTCTGTATGGTCCCTGAGCCCCGCTCTCTTTCTTTGTAAACACTTGGCAGGAAACTCACAGACGGCAGGAGCTTTGTCTCGTCTGTGGCTGAATTCTCCCTGACTAGTGATTATAGGAATTAAAAAATCTATATTGGAAGAGCTGCAAGGACAAGTTTGAGGAGAAATGTCATTTTAAATGAATTATGGCTTCAATGAACATCTGAGTAGAATGAGTTTGAGCTGAATTTCAATGCTTTCTGAGCAATGTGAAAAAGGAGGAGCGAGCGTGAGTGCGAGTGTGTGTACACATCTGCACATGATACGGGGAAAGAGCAGACAGAGTCAGGAAAGCATGTGGTCAGTGGACACTCCAGCTTCCTGGAAGTCAATCCACAAACCTGAAAGTAGGGCCCTCAGCCTGCCCCTTCCTCTCTCTGTCTCATCCTGGCTTATGGCCTTCAGAACAACACTGCCCCACCCGAGGTTTCTCCTGCTCTCACCACACATGAGACAAGGCATAAGGTGACTCAGGAGCAGCCCTGGAGTCCTTAGACTTCCGTCCACACCTTACCACACACTCACCTACCCTTCTAGACGTGTGTTGGGTGGCAATCATTTCACTATATAAACAGAACTAGAATCTATGGAGATTCCCCTGCTGGAGCATGAAAGTTGGAGGGCCCTTCACTATTTAAGTCATATTTTTTTAATGTTTGAATAATTTATAGCAGTGGTTCTCAACTACAGGTGATTTTGTCCCCTAGTGGATATCTGACAATATCTGGACACATTTTTGGTCGTCACAAAATGGGCTAAAAAAAATACCATACAATGAACAGGAAATTATTATTATTACTCCTATTTTACAGTAAGTGTACATACTACATCATTAAACAGAAATTAATATATAAGACCCTGAACTTGTGTGTCATTATCAGCTACCAGGACTGTCAATGGAAAACAGAAAACAAGATGTGTATACGACGAATAAGAACTAACCACAAAATAAAGTGAAGATTTTCAACTTTGTAAAGAATCAGCTTTCCTTTAAGATCTAGGTCCTTCAACATGTGAACAACCATTTTCAGTTAAAACTCCAAGCCAATGGTTTCTGGCATAATACTGGTCCTCTTAGGAGTTGGGATATACTTGGAGATGCAGCCCTAAGGAAAATTCTCACTTTGCAGCTACTACAAATATCAGACAGTTTTTCCCATTCAGTGAGACAAGCAAAATCAAACCCACTTTCATGCAAAAATCAATAATTCTTTGGGTGCCCTTCAGAAGGATAGCTTACCGGGGATGTGGGCTCCTCCATATGTGATATTCACGTCGTAATCCCCTGGAGCAAAGGGGATGTACTCAGCACTGCAACTGCCATCTTTGTTGTCTCTGCAGTTTATCTTTGACTCCGATGGTCCCTCGACAGTTATGCCAAGACCCCCAATTCCTGCCCCTCTGGAAAGTGTGAGTAAAAAGGCCAAGTTGTACTAGTGGTTCATGCCAGTCTGCTTATTTCCAAAATTCCTTTAAAATCCCTCTATAAACTATCCCATTTCGCCAACCAGAAACAGTGTAATATAAATAAAAACGGCTTCGACCCTTCCTTTCCAATGCTTATCCTTCATTGTTGCATTGGCTGGGTCTGAAAGTACAATTCAGGTATGAGACTTGTGACCAGTTTTAATAGGAATACTTCTAATATTTCACTTAAATATGAAATTGGTTCTATATTTTTGAATTACCACGTTAAGTAGCTTCCGTCTAGTCCTGGTTTGTTCAGCAGTTTTATGACTATTATCAAGGGCTTTTTGGTACTTTTAAAAGCATACTTGGTCTTTCTCTGTAATATATGTCTCTATGGAAGAAGACGCCTCACATATGAAATACAAAGCCTCCCAAAAGTTGGGAGACCATGATACATATGTAGGATACACCTATAAAACTTCCTGAAAGCAGTTAAACTACTTAGGGCTACTCCTTTTACAGAGTCAACACACAGATCCCAGGACCTTGCTTACCTGGTAACCACAGTAAAGACGTTGGGTTTGTTGGTAAAGGCCTCTTTCAATCCCGGTCCTTGAGCTTGAACCCGAGATGGCTGGCAGCCTTCGGTTACAGCCACTTTAAAGGGACTGTTTGGGATGGGCACATCATCATATGTCACCTCCACTACATGGAGGCCTGTTCAAAACAACATATAGAAACATATTTGCACAGGAGTCACTTACTTGTGGCAAATAATACTCTAGCAGTCAAGTCTATGTGTTATCCCATGTTATTCGAAAAGAACAGGTTGAACAAACAGCAAAGTTGGTATGATTTGATTTTTTTAAAAAACACAAACTGTTTGCGCTTTTGTTCACTTGGCAGTCACATACCACCCCCCATCCCCCAACACACACGCAAGGCCTCTCCTCCCAGCAAATATCACTAAGCCTATTTTGAAGACAGTCATCTTAAACACACCATCCTCATTTGAGAAAACTCCACCTAGCCACTAACCGAAAGACAAAGAGAAACCCATGAAATAGAATAGACAAGCATCCACGAAAAGAAAGTGAAAATATCTATACCATAAAGTTTAGGGATTATATATCCAGATAATGAGGACATATGGTGCTTTTATTTTTTTTATGCTTTATCAAAATTTTAAATTAAAAAATTTAATTTTAAAATTTAAATTCTTAATATTCAAGAAAGAAATTAATTATGTTAAAAAAATCGCACAGGGAATTCCTTGGTGGTCCAGTGGTTAGTACTCCATCCTTCCACTGCTGGGGGTTGGGGTTTTGATCCCTGGTCGGGGAACTAAGATCCCACAAGCCACGGGGCACGGCCAAAAATAAATAAATAAACAAAATAGGAGGTAAAAATTAAGGGAGAACTTTCCCCCTTGAGGAAAAAAAACTGCACAAACGAGCAACATGCCATGACATCACCCCATAACCTGCTCAGCTGAGGCTAAACACAGCCCAACTGCTACACAACAGGGCCAGCACGCCCGGCACTGAGCAAGCAGGTGGCTCTGTTCGGGAGAGAGGTTTCCACATTTCCCAGTCACTGTGCACGTGCTTCTGCTGAGACGGTCAAAGCACGTGGGGCAGGAGTTAGCGCCAGCCACCGGGAGGAAGCAGCCCCGCAGAGCTCTGAACGAGGGTCCTGTTCCAAGGAGAAGTCAACTCACCCTTCTCGAAGGGCGTGTATTCCACCTGGTAGGTCCCATCAGCATTGTCTGTGACGAAACACTCGGTGGAGGCCCCGGAGGGGTTGGCAATATGGGCCTTGATGTGGTCGCCTCCGACCTGCGTCAGGGGCCGTGAGTCGACCGTGAAGTCGGTGGTGGCTTCCCGAAACACATCTGCAGAGCAATCACACAGATAAGAATGTCGCTGTCACCTCAGTGTCAGGAGCAAACCCAAGAGCCAAGGCTCTCGGCACTTCAGAACACACTCGTTTAGGTGATCGCAGACAACCGGTTTCTCTGACTCGGAATCAGGAATATTAATGCCTCCCCACCTTCAATCTCCTTGGCAAAAGAAGCTTCTTCCTAAGCCAGGTAACAACACAACTGCCTGCACACTTCTTGGGACAAAGGTGGGATCTAGGACAGGTTAAAGGCTGAAGACAGCAAGTGTGGTATTAGCCAGCAGTACATTTTAAACCTTTTTCAGGTAAGTGCCCAAAATGCAATATGTTGTGTTTCCACATTTAAAGAGAAAAAAAACAGGGGCTTCCCTGGTGGCGCATGGGACACGGGTTCGAGCCCTGGTCTGGGAGGATCCCACATGCCGCGGAGCAACTAAGCCCGTGCGCCACAGCTACTGAGCCTGCGCGTCTGGAGCCTGCGCTCCGCAACAAGAGAGGCCGCGACAGTGAGAGGCCCGCGCACCACAATGAAGAGTGGCCCCAGCTCGCCGCAACTAGAGAAAGCCCTCGCATAGAAACGAAGACCCAACACAGCCAAAGATAAAAATTAATTAAAACAAAAAACACAAACAAGATTTCTGGCTTTGTCAGGAAAAAAAAAAAAGGGAAAATCTGACAGTGTTGGGAGTGTGAAGAAACAGAAAGCTGGGGTTGGGCAGCAGAAACACCACATGCTCACCCCTTCACTCTGCTCCCCTCTACTGCTCCCTGATGCAGAGACCACAGGTGAGTTATCTTCTACCTGGCCCGACCCCTATAGTCATTTGAGTTTGCAGCCCTGACTCTCTGAGCTTCCAGTGAGCCCCTGTTACTTTGGCAGCCACCCTCTTTTTCATGAAACCCACCTTTTCCTTCTATTCCTGGCCCAAAGACCTTGACCCTGCTGGTGTCCACGGCAGGCTCCACCTTGACCCTGGCGGGGAAGTGCGGTACAAGCTCGCCGCCGTACTTCATAGTCAGCGTGTACATGCCGGCGGTCAGGGGCACGTAGGTCACCGCATAGGTGCCGTCTTTGTTGTTCTCAATACAGACTTCAGCTTTCGCCCCCGAGTCCGAGACGGCTTCCAGGCCCAGGGCCCCCGGGCCTGCTTCTGAACAGTCCACGCTAAGCAGCCCTGCCTCGCCCACTTTCCCATGCTCCAGCCCTGGGCCCGATGCCACAACTTTGGAGGGATCAAACGGCATTTCAATGTCAGCTTTGAAGGGAGAACCAGGTATGTGGACTTCTTCAAAGAGGATGTTGACGAAGTACTCCCCGGGCTTTGTTGGGAGGTAGGAGACGGAGCAGGTCCCGTCGCCATTGTCCGAGCATTCAATTTTGGCCTCACAAGGACCTTCCACGGTTAGGCCCAAACCTCCAGTTCCAGCTCCTTTGGTGTCGATGATGAACTCGGCAGCCTTGCCCACAAGACCGCCTTCAAGGCCAGGACCGTGGGCCTTCACCTATTTGGACAAAGAATAAAAATCAGACTCTGCCCGAAACTGGTATCGCTGCTCAGCCAGCACCGCTTTCAACAGCCAAGCCTGCAATCGGCAGTGAACTGCCCCTCGATGAAGTGGTCCTTCTCCCTGGGGCCTAATGTGTCACACACACTCACCACAGCACTGAGTTACAGCCACAAGCAGTGGATGCTGCAAACGGCTGAGAAAGGGAGACCTGGCGGTGAACTCATTCAACACGGAAGGGCATGTCAGAGGCATGGCTTTCTCTCTCCTGCCAGGCTCGGCTCGAGGGCTGGAGCTGGACACCTAACATCTAGTCCAACAAACACACTCGGGTTTCCTGGGTTGAACACTCACTGAATGGCTTTCATGGACCTCACTGTTGCTTTGGCTGCTATACCTCCCTCAACAAATTCTGAATAATAAAAAACTGAACTATAATGGTGAATACATGTCATTATATGTTTGTCCAAACCCATACACTGTATAACACCAAGAGTGAACCCTAATGTAAACTATGGACTTTGAGTGACAACGATGTTGACATAGGTTCATCCATTATAACGGGTGCACACCACTCTGGTGGGCGATGGTGATAATGGAGAGGTTATGCATGAGTGGGGGAGGCGGGATCTGGGAAATCTCTGTGCCTTCCTCTCAATTTTACTATAAACCTAAAATTGCTCTAAAGTCTAATGAAAAAATTAAAAAACGAACAAACATTAAAAAAAAAAACCACTTGCTTTTAAAAGAGGGAGGGGATGAGGCTTTCATCTCTTATTCAACAAATAACACAGTTTTATAGGATTCATGCCATTCAAAACACTGGAAATAGTCTCAAACCCTTGACTCAGGGCTACTAGGAAGAAATGATAATGAGTAGAACATATTTTTATACTTCATTATAACAGCTCACTGTGTGTGCCAGATGCCAGACTGAGGCCTCCACACCCACCATCTGACCTCACCCTTACAGCCTCACTTTGAAGCAAGTACCGTTACCATGCTGACAAATGAAGGACAGGAGTCCCTCACCAAAGCCTCACAACCAGAGTGAGAGAAGGAGTAGGGCTGGGACCCAGCTGCCGAGGGGACCCTTCATGCTGGATTGTAGGAGAGAGAACTACGGAGAACGGGCTGTCATCACAAAACAATTATCTAAAAGGTCTTTGCTGGGCAGAACCAGAGGACTAACTATATGTTATTATCTGCCAACAGAGGACAAGCTCTGGAACAAAAATGAAAGCTGACCTTGGTGGGATCAGGCGGCAGTGAGGCCTCCACCGTGTAAGGGCTCCCGGGCACGGGGTGTCCATCGTAGGTCACGTCAACAGCATACAGCCCCTCCTCCCGGGGAATGTACTTGGCCGTGCTGCTCTCCCGGCCCGTCACGGGCGCCACCAGGCATGGCACAACCTTCCTCGAGGGGCTCAGGATCGTCACGTCCAGCTTCCCCTGACCTCCCGCTCCCCTGCTGTCAATGGCGAACTCCTGATCCTTCCCAACTTCGACTCCTGGAAAAAAGGAAACAAGCCAAAGGGATGAGCTGACCCTGCAGCAAAAACACAGCTGAGGGCAGAGATGGTTCCTTGGACACAGGACGTCTTCTCAGCCTCTACAACAAACACTGGCTGATGCAGGACAAGAGGCAAGACCGAGTAAGAATAATCACCATTCTGGCCTCAATAACAACCAGTACAAGAACATTAATTCCTTATGACAATAATAATGATAGTCGTCATTCACTGAGTGCATTTTACATATCAGGCGTGAGGACGGCATATCATCTCCTTTCATTTTCAACACAATGCTACAGGGTATTTATTAGTAACCAAGGAATTTAACAGAAGGGGAAACTGAGGCTCACGGGGGTTAACTGACTTGCCTGGGGTACATACATATCCACCAGACCACAAAGCTGGGACTCAGATCTAAATTTACTTGACCCCATAATCTGCAGTAAGTTATAACCTGATACTGTTGTCTCTTCTTTAATTACTTTTGGTGTTAACTTTATATCAAAACACTCCCAGAAGCCAATGTTGTATTTACTAATTCTTGGCAGCAAATTCAGTCCTACAGCCAAGAACGCAAAAGTCACAGGGTTGGCCAATGCAGAGGCACTGAAGCAAGCCCTGAGAATTGACTCTCTGTATTGTGCTGATACATGAAAGGTCTTTGCAAAGCAGGGCCACAGAAAACCCATGTGTTACATTTGACAAAAACAAGGAAAGGACTCTGAACCCAAACAAAAGCACTGGGAGCCTAGGGTCCCCACCACAACCCAGGCAAGTCCTGACTTGGGCAATACAGGGCCTGCCAAGATGAACAGTTTCAAGCCACAAGCAAAGAGGTCTCGGAGCTCCACATCCCAAAGACTTTTCCTAATTGGCATCATACTTTTCCTAGTTTGGAGTCAAAACCCTCGGTGTCTTGGAGAAAGGAGTAACCAGGAGACATGTTAAGGATTAGACAGTGACTATTCTTATGCTTAGAGCTGGCTGCTGCCAAGGAACAAAAACCAACATTGGGCTCTTGCTTCAGAGCCCCCGGAGCTGGGAGCTGGCCTCACTCACAACTCGTACATTTGGGTCACAGGGCACCGAAGGTGCTCACCGAGGGTCCCGCTGAGACCTGGAGAAACCCACAGAAAAAGAGGCCTGCCCTGAGGGTGTGCACAGAGCCCCATGTGACCCTGAAACCAGGAGACCATGTACCACTGAGGTGTAGCCAGGCTGTGGCCGTGCCAACAAGAGGATGGAGGTGTGAACGTTCTCTAACATTAACGTTCTCTGACGCAAAAAGGCATGCTGAAGACCTATGGGTATTGCAGGGTAACTTTAGTGCAAAGTAGGCGTTGCCAAACATTTTCTGCTGGCACTAAGTATGTGCAGACGCAGAAAGAAGATGTGCGAGGACAGAAACTAAACTGGTAACTTTGGTTAACCCTATAGGGAGTGGGAAAGGTAATGCTTCAAGTAGAACATATTCTTGTCTGTTATGTCTTTTTTTTTTTTTTTTTGCGGTACGCGGGCCTCTCACTGTTGTGGCCTCTCCCGCTGCGGAGCACAGGCTCCAGACGCGCAGGCTCAGCGGCCATGGCTCACGGGCCCAGCCGCTCCGCGGCACGTGGGATCCTCCCAGACTGGGGCATGAACCTGTGTCCCCTGCATCGGCAGGTGGACCCCCAACCACTGTGCCACCAGGGAAGCCCCTTGTGATGTCTTTTAGATGAAAAATGGATTTTTGTATGACCTGTGTAAAAAATACTTTTATGATCACGTGTTAAACTTGACAAGCTGAGTGACAAGTACATGAGTGTTCATATTGCACTATTCTCTTCACTTTTCCATTTATTCATTCAGTTATTTCATCTATTTAAATGAGCTTGTACTAATAAGATACCTGACAAGCTAAAGGAATATCCAGACTGGGGTGGGGAAATGCACTGTAGTTGTGGTTTCTGAGAGCCCGGAAGCTGGCTTTTATGCTTGACCCTAAGGTGGATTCAGTGGCCAAGGAGTGTTGGCACAATAGAAATTTGTCAGAGGGCAACATGCCCCAAATTCTCTGTCATAAAAACCTTCTGCTGTGATGCCAGCAGTTACCGAGGACTGACTATGACCCAGCTCCTGAATTATTAGCTCATTTAATTCTCACAATATTCCCTTGAGTATTCTTCCCCCACCTCCACGGAACAAATGAGAAAACGGAGGCTTGGTGAGGTGAAGGGGCAGGTAGGGTCACAGAGCTACTCCACGGGATAGCCCTAATTCAAACCTGTCTGTCTGACTGCAAAATCTCATATGGCAGAATTTGCTTCCCTGCAAATTGTCTTTGAAGGGGATGTAACTGCTCTTCAATGACCCGTCTCCCACCACCATTCATGATGCACTTACTGTTTTCCAGCCCATTAATTTTTATCCTGCTCAGATCCAGCGGAGCGGCCACGCCCACCGTGAAAGGGCTTTTAGGGATGGGATCGCCACCGTATGTAACCAGAACCTGCATGCTGCCCTGGAATGAGAGAGAAAACCGAGGACACGTTTGGGTACCAACGTCCTACCTTGCCGTTTCAACCTGCCTTCCAGGTCTTTCATTCTTCCCAGAGACACAGGGTATAAGACTCCAGCTGATTCAGAAAGCATCTCAGATATATTTCTCTAAGTTTTTGGGCTCCATGGCAAGAATGACAGAGAAATCAGACGAAAAAGAGCAACTAACAACAACAGGGACAGCTTAATGAGCACACCATGCTCATTCTTTTAAGCATTTCCTTAATTCAATCTCAGAACGGTCCTAAGAGGGCGTTCCCACTGTTCTTACCATCTTTCCAGGAGATGAAACTACAGCTCAGGAAGGTAAAATCACTTGCCCCAGTGCAAGAGCGGGGCCTCATGCCCACGGTACCCAAACCTGTGTCAGTCCTAGCCGCTCTGCCCTGTTACCTCCCCACCCAGCTAAACAACCAGCCCTGGCCATAGGCAAAGCAGGGAGGCCAGGGGGCCTCTAACCGAACAAAATCTTTTGTCTCCATGTCCTGGGATTTCAGGCCACTAGGCTGCGAAATGAATTTGCAAGAGTTTGCCTGGGGCTGTTCTGAGACCACTGCACTGTATCGAAACTCGCGCATCTATGGCAATGAAAGAAAAGTTGCCAGTGTGAAGGCAGACTGAGCCTGTGGGGTTGGCAGTCCCCTCGCCAGCAGCCCCGAAGCCATGGAGGCACAGCGCGGCCAGTCCTGGCCCACTCGCTGCTGGCTTCCTCTCTCCACGGTCGGCTGAGTCCCCTCCCTCCAAACCAAGGCTCCATGAAAGCCCACAGCTGTCTCAGTAGATTAAGGCCCTCCTCACCTCAAATGTCTGGGCATCACCTAAGAGGATGTGGGAAGGGAAGAAGCAAGGGGGAGGGAGGGATGATTCCTTGCAGGAATACAGAGGGCTCGCTAACATTCAGTCCCTGCTGAAAGCTGTCACGGACCAAGTGTTAAAAGGGTGCAGCTTTTGGCCTATGAATATTTTCTCACATTCCTTGTGTAATAAAGAAGGAGGGAAAAGACAAGACAAAAATTAGTGGCATCAATGAAGGAGGGAGGACTGACTTTCCAGGATGTATTAGCACTGGACACAAAACCAATGAGCCCACTATCTGAAGAGTATAATAGCTCATGGTAAGATGTACGTGGTCACATTCAACAGAGCGGGGGCTGGTTTGTTGCTTCAGCCCTCAAGGCACTGCCAACATGCCAGCTCTTCCCGAGGGTATGCCCCCAAACCCCGAACTCCTCGAGGGCTAGGCCTCCCAGCTAACCAAGGGTCCCGGAAAAACCTTCTCCACCACCCACTAGAATTCAGGAGACCACTTCTCTGGAGTGCCAAAGGAGTGAGGGGAAAATCCTCTTTCAGTTAAGCCCATCTGTCCCATGAAAGAAAGCATATTCTCATTACCAGTTATACAAAACACAACGAAACTGAGACAGGAAATTAACTGTACCTTAAATAACCTAATGAGGGGGAGAAAGAAAGCTTAAGAGATTTACACCTGCGATGGCCTGTAGCATTTCAAGATTTCCTCTGAGGCCCCAGCCAAGGAACGGCCTATGCATTTTCCCCAGGAGGCTAGGAAGTGAGGAAGATCTGAGCAGTGACCACCAGTGCATTTCAGAGACTTTGCTGATGGCCACACAGTTGTATTTTATTTATTTTGGGGCCACACCACACGGCACGCGGAACTTCCCCGACCAGGCATTGAACCCACGCCTCCTGCAGTGAAAGCGCGGAGTCTTAACCACTGGGAAGTCCTGCCAGATGGGTTTATCCTCTCCCTTCCAGGCTTCTGAGACCTTCATCTCATTCTGCACGAGACCCACGAGGAAAGGACCGAGAAAGCTACCCACAGCCCCCTCCTCCAGAGACCTCTGTGACAGCTATGGCCACCAACAGTAATAACCTTTCAAGGGAGGGACTGTTCTCCTGTGAGGCCCAGTGAGCTCCGGGGGCTTCCTAAAGGCGCCACAGCAGCATGTGGAGTTCTCAGTTCCCAGTGGCTCCTGACTCAGCATGTCGGGGAGCTCTTGCCACCGGCTCCTCAAACCACTCTGTTCAGGGAAGCTTGGGGTGAGAAACTGAAGTCATTGAGGCCACAGACAACGAAAAGCACAGAAGGCAAAATCCTCCAGGGAAACTGTCATTGTATAATGGCCCTTCTACCTTTGACCTCTGGGAGGGTCTTCAAGCCCCAGCCAAAGAAGTCCACTCCCTGCTAAGGCAAAAACTCTGACCACTGTCTTCCAACAAGAACAGGATCAACCAGCAACGTCCATCACTGGTCCACGGCAGGCAGGTGACCTGTGGACTGGGGCCCTGCAGGGGACAGCAGCCGCCTGCAGGTGTCACGGAGCAAAGAGCCAGCAGTTGGGTGGGGGCCGCAGTGCCTCACACAGCAGCCCAAAATCTGAGGGTTAAGCATTCACCCTAAGCCAGGATCCACCCTTGTCTCTCCACACACACTCAACAGCTGCATTTCTGGAAAGTTCCAGCCTCTTAATCCCTAAAACCACCACAAGAAGGTGCGCCTGTGGGCAGCGACCTGAAAAGTAACCCCGTGCGGCTTTCTGGGCTGACCCAAGTCTCTTAACCACATCCAAGAGCAGAGCTCAAAGGCACGCTTATTTCACCCAATCTTGAGCTGTTAGCTGTTAGCTCTTCAGAAAACAGAGTTCAAAGTAGAATGAGGATGTGTCAGCTCCACTCTCCTACCAGATTACAAAGTTCTCATGTTGTTTCTGCTTGTGAGTTGAGGCTCCACTTCGTTTATTCACCCATTCGGCCATAAATCACACAAAGCAATTACAGCACCAGACACTGTGCTTGGGGCTGAGAATGGAAAGATATATATAACATGATACCCTAACCTTGGAAACTCACAATCTAAGAGTAGAGATTTAATCTGTTTTCTTTGCCATAGAGAAACAGGCAGAATTGCGATCTGCCCAAATAATAAAACAGTAAACCTCACTCTAAACAACAAACGAGAGGGATGGGAGAGGCACCGTGGAGTCATCGCAGTAAAGGCAGGGACTGACAGCATTTGCACAAATAGCCCCAAGAGGCCACCAAGCATGCCAACAGCCCTCAGACCTGCTACGATCAGACATATGGATGAACTTGACCTTGGGGTGACTCTAGAGTAAGGCGCTTCCCACTCTAGCTACATTTCAAATGTGATAAAACAGGACTGGGCTCCCGACCTCCACCTCCACCTCGACTGGCAGCTGGGAGCATCCAGGGCATCGGGTTCTAAAGTCCTTTCTGGGGGTGCAGGTCAAAACCTGAGGCTGTCCTGATGTCTGCAACTTACTTTCTAGCAACTCAGCCGAAACACAAAAAGGTATATAGGATCAAGAGTCTCAAAATGTTTTCCCAATAGTCTTGTGATCTTGACCAGCGATCATGGCCATGCTTTCTTGTACCTTCTCCTAAGGAACGTGGAGAACTGGCAAAAAGATGCTATCAAGCTGGTGTTGCCAGTGGTAAGGCTCCCAGCAGCCCTGATAAGCATCACTAGGAAAATAATTACCTAAATAATGAGCACAGAGCAGCCTGATGAGAAAACCGTATTCATCTACAAAAGTTTTCGTTTTACCATTACTAATAATGAACCCTCATTAGGGTAAAGAGAAACCACAGGAAGAAGCACATGTGGAGATAAAGGGCCACATAGAACCTGCCCTAGAGAACCTCGCACTGCCAGGCAAGTTCTCATAGTAAAGATTCCATCTCCAAGCATGTGTAGCCCCCAGTGCAGGGGGGACACCCACACCATTCCCTCATCCTCACTGTACCCCTCATTCTTTCCCACTACACTCTGGCCAGGTCCTCACTGAGAGGGCCCAGGGCAGAAGTGATGCTTTTCAAACAGTGCTTCTACAGAAAGCATCGCCCTTCCTCTCTTAAAAATGGCATTTCTCACATAGGGGGACTCTTCTTCAAGAATGAAGGAATCTCAGAGGTTTGGAGTGACTGTTTAGAACGCTATGCATAAATGCGAGAATCCAGGCTTTTCTGTAGGAGCTCCCCAGACCCTAGACGTGTAGCCACGAATCAAAATAAAATTTTAAATAAGTAAACATGAATTCATACAGAGAGGAAGATTTTTAGGCCCTTATTGCCTAAAACAACCAGAGCAAAGCAGCGGGGATGACAAAATCCTGTCTGTATTCCTGTATTTTGTAAAAGGGAATAATTTAGTGCTTGAAGTACCATTTCGGGCTTGAGGGACTAAAGGCTCTTTGAGAAAGACCCCACTGCACCACCTCGTAAAAAGGGTAAACTAAGGCAAAAGGGCCAGCAAGGACAAAGGCACGGCAATTCTCTCCCTGTGAGTAATTAGTAAAACACTAAAACCAAGAACGGAGGTGGGAAATGGGGGTGGGAAAAAACAACTAGCTTCCTGCTTGTTCTTGGGGAATCCTCCAGGTCCTCCTGGTAGAACCCATCAGGCTTTTTGTCAGCATTCCCAGAGGGGCTCGGAAGGAAAGGGGGAATCTCCTCCTGCCACAGAGAAGCACAGCTCAGAGCACAGATTGCCGCCCCCCCTCCCCGTGTCCAGAGTGACCCAGCCCAGCACCGAGTGGGGAGGGGCCCTACCTGCTGGGTGGGCGTGTATTTAACGGTGTGGGAATAGTCGTAATTATCAATGACGTCCAAGTCCTTCACGGCGTCGCCAGGAAGGGGGCTGCTGAACTGCACGTTGAGGGGGGCTTTTCCGGCCCCTTTGGTGTAGACGGTGAAGTGGGTCGGTTTCCCGTTTTCCACACCTGGGAGGAGAAAGTGAAGTGAGGAGACAGGCCCAGCTGGAGGGGTTTCACTTTTAGCACCAGTCTGACAGGTTCATCAGCACAGGCTTCCGCAAGGCAGTAGGTGGAGACAGGGGCTGGCGTTCGGCCAGCGGCTCAGCTGAGCAGGGGCCCTGCTGAACTGGAGCCCCAACAGAGCCCCTGCTCCAGGGGAGCTAAGTCACTCACGGCCCTGGACCAACCATGCCCACTGCCTCCAGGGTGACCTCATGCACACATGCCACCTTACCTGCTTTGCTGAGCCCCGGGCCTTCTGCCTTCACTTTGCTGGCGTCGTGGGAAGGGTCGACTTTGACTCTGAAAGGGCTGGCGGGAATTTCCTGTAGCAGAGACACTGTCTCAGTAGGAAAGTCCCTGAAGCCACTGCCTGAGCTTAGCCTTCCGCCCAAAGCAAAGGAGGAGACCTCAGCATGACTTCCACTCTAGCAGATGGTGAGCAACTTCCGTCACCATTGGTCAAGTCTTCAGGCGCTAGCATCAGGTAAGGGCCATCAGTGGTCACTCATGAATACCCGGATCCCTGACATCATGGCTAAAGGATGGGTTTCCACAAACCACTCAGACAACTCTCAGCCTTTGACACCAAATGCTGAGTACTTAGGATACAAAATACTACCAAAAATAAAACCCCAAACAACAATAATACACGGGGTTGGAGGAAGGAAAGGGACATTCCTCCAGGGACAACAGAGAGCTAGGGTTTGAGGAATGCAAGGAATTGATTATAAATGCAATGACTGCAATTCTTCAAAAAGAATCTTTCAGAATAAAGGCAGAACAGGTTAAGTGGATGAAGCCAACTCAAGACCAACACCTTTAAGGCACAGACCTTTCTCCTGAGGTCCCTATCTTTACGTAAGATGAACCTGAATCACCAGAATTCCACTATTCCCTGTTTCAGGGTACTGCGCCTTCTTGTCTTCATTATCACATGTAAATATGAATTCTATCTGAAATTCAAAACCCCTCTCCCTAGAAAAGTTTAAAGCCTGAGGCCAAGGTCATCATTGCAGAGAAAGTATAGCACACATCTAGAAACGAATTAAGTTTCATTCAAAAACCGGATGAAAGTTTGTAATGATCCAATTTCTTTCCAGAGTCTGGCTTTTAACCACTGACTACACGGCCCCACTTCTGTTAGAAAGTGGTACAATTTTAGTTCTGGGTGTTTGTTCCTTCTTGGTTTTAAGGAAGCAGAGAGGAAAACTATTGGGCAGAGTTCTCAAGACACCTTCCCTGTTGCTGAAAAAAGCAAAAAGGAAATACGAACACAGGTGGCCAGAAAGAACCCAAGTCCAAACACACACCTGAGAGGCAAAGAGAACTTTGATGGTGTATCGCCCGGCAGCAGGAGGCACATATTTGACAGTAAACGTGTCATTGGCGTTGTGAATGATGTCAAAATCCACGTCTTCCTCATCGTCACTTAACACCCGGGCATCACATTTAATGCCAACGCTGACATCACCTGGAACAGACCAGCTTATTAGCACCGGTTTACCAGAAACAGCACGTCCCATGCAATCACTTCCAGCTCAGGCTCACACCCCAGAAAAGCAACTGGGAAATTTCCAGTAAGAAACCTGAGAAAGGGATGGTATTTAAATAATGGTTTTGCAGACAGAACAGAGGATTAGCAAAGGTATCACCACGGAACTGACACACAGGCTCATCAGATGAACAATTACCTATTCAGGTGAGTTACTATCTCCTGGTTCAAAGTTCATTACCCATGAAACGTTACAAAGAGAACTTCGTTCCCCAAGAAACAACGAGCACCGAGTCGGGTGAAGCCCCCTCTCACCTTCGCCAGCCTCGGTACAGTCCACTGTGAAGTGAGTAGGCTCGTGCGCCTTCAGTCCACTTCTCTCCACTCCTGGCCCAAACACTTTGACCTTCTGGGGATGGCTGCCCTGCCTGATGTTGACCTAGAGAGGACGGGGAGAAAAGTTGTAATCAAGTTCTTCTCCCCGTGGATCCAGTAAAGACACTCTCAGTTGTTAGAATGTTATACTTCTGGGCAATCTACGGCACTCGGCCCTTTGGGCCACTCCATCTTCCAAGGCCCACCAAGCATGGGTCTTTCCATATAGTTGCCTTGGCCATCAAGCATGGACTCCAGACTGGCCTCAGGACTGGGCTTTTTCATTACCACGACCAAGGTTTCACCTCACAACCTACCCTGTAAGGGCTGTGCGGGATGTTGACACCTCCCCAGACCACGGCAATGGTGTGCTTGATGGGCTTCACCGGGGTGTACGAGCAAGCGTAGGTGCCATCCATCCGGCTCTGCATCTGGATGTCAATGGGCTGGCCGTCCCCGTCCTGCAGAAGGGCAGAGGCTAAGAACAGGGCTGACCCTCACACTGTCTCCATCCACTGTGGCCTCCCAAGACAACCAAGTCACTGCTCACTCATCCCACAAAATCTCATGGAACACCTATGACAGCACCTATGAACACAAGTGATAAAACACTACATGCATGTACGCATTTTTACTTACTAAGAGAAAACGGTCCCAAAAGAAAGCCATGGCCACTCAGTGCTTCTTAATTTTAATTCCTGCATTTAAATCCTTGGGCCAAATTCAATTAAATTAGATAGATATATTTGATAAACCCTTGTTTACAAACCCTCCCATCACAGTGTGAGTAGCTTCAGCCACACTGAAGGACATTTACAGGGAAATCTGAAACAATCAAGCCTCATTTCCACGGAGCACAAATCATAAAAATTTGCCCCTTGCTTTACATGTTAGAATCTCATTCAGTCCTCACATAAACCCTACAAAATAAACACTGTTATTCGCAGTGTGTGGATGAGGAAACTGAGGATCAGATGGACTGAGCGACTTTCCATTACGTGGATGGATCCTGTTACCTGACAATTACCTGCACAGGTCGTCCCTAGAAACTTACCTGAGCAAATATCTTTAAGGGAGCTTTGCCGGCAGCCTTAGGATCCACGGTGAACTCGGCCAGATTGTTGACGATGCAGCCAGATTTCTCCAAACCTGGCCCGTATGCTTGAACCTGGGGCAAAGGGCCAATAGTGATTCTCTTTCTGTGTAATGCCCTAACTGTGCTCCTATCAGAAGACTGGTAACCAGGAAATGGGAGAAAAGGAAAACAACTGTGTCTGGCTTCACAGTACCTACATAATAGGATGGTTATGGGAAGGAAAATGCTAAAGTAGGCTGGGACTTAAAAATAAAAACATGCAGGAGAAAAAGTCTGTAAAACCAGGCCCCAAACTGGCCTGTGCTCCCTGCCTTAATCTGTGCAGTAACCGGGGCAGGGACCTCCAGCCATGCCCACCTCCAGTTTCAATGCTCCTGCTTTGTGAGGGCTCAGAACCTCTCCCACTGACAACACTCCAAAAGTTTGCAGCCCCAGAGAGTAAAGGACCAGCAGTTGGCCAAAGACGAGCAGCTGCCAGCCTGGACTGATGTCACCCTATGGTCAGCTGTCCAGGTGGGCCAACGGCAGCACACAGGGCGGGGGCAAGGGCTTCCTCCTGTCAGCCAGGCTGGCTCAGACTTGATGCTAATCAGCTTGCTAAATGTTTGAGAGAAGCTCTTGCAAACACTGCTCCAATTTAAGAGAGGGGGAGCTGGGGAGGAAAATTTTAAAACCTTTATCTATGGATCACCTTGAAATAATAACTACAGCAAGTGGCAAGACTGAAATATGATGCTCGGGGTTGCGAGAAAATAGCAGCTTACAGAGCCCCCTCTGCGGGGCAGGCACTGTTCTAAGGGCTGTCTTCATTCACATTACCTCCTTGAATCATGACAGAAACTCTAAGAGGCAGACACTCGTATTATTCCCATTTGATAGAGTCAGAGAGGTAAGTTACGTGCCCCATGTTACAAAGGTACTAAGAGGTACTATCAGGCTTGTAATTCAGGCCTTTTTCCTTCCTAAGCTCTCAAAGGCTCTGCTCTGCGATTTCTCCACATGCTGCTCAAGGAAACTCTGTGGGCACTGGGAGGAGTGCCAGGAGCCAGAGAAGAGAGCACAGAACATGACAAGTTGATTCACCAGATCCGGGTTGTAGTCTCCCGAGGCAGGGTGGATGTAGGCCATGTAGGGACTGTCTTTGATGTCCTCATCGTCACACATGATGTGAACGGCATATTCACCGGGCTCCTTGGGCCAGTACTTGACATCACACGATCCGTCGTTCTGGTCATCATACTCAATCTTTGCCTGGGAGGGGCCTTCAATGGCAAACCCTGGGGGATAGGGTGGGAGGATCCCCCTGGTTACATGGCGGAAGGTATCTAGTCTGGGTTACTACTAACCCACTCCCTCCACCTCCCTGAAAACCAAGTGTTAGCCAGAAGACTGAAATCTGTTTAGGTCCCTTTCCCACAAAACCAAGCCTACTGAGTCTTCACTAGAGACAGAAGGTTGGATTTTATACTTTTTTTTTTTTAAACATCGTCAAAGAGGAAGGTCAACCAGCAAATCTTTCTGTTGGCAATATGGCAACACAAGCCAAAAGCCTTAAAACAATGCCCATCCTTTGTCCCACCAAATCCACTGCTGGGCTTTTATCTGAAGGAAGTAACCAAGGATGTGTGTAAACAGTTAGATACAAGGATATATATACAGCATTGTTTTTATAGCAAAACTCTGGAAATAACTAGAGAGCCTAACAGTAGCTATATCGATGCACTGTAATTCCACAGAAGCCATGGGAAATCAAGACATATCCTATATTTGCCTGAGGCAGAAAGATATAAAGGCCACCCCCAGGTATTTTTGCAGCAGATCAATATTTGTATGCCTATGTACAGGGAAAAAGTCTGCAAGGATATACCTAAAGGCTTAATATTACCTCTAGTCTACAAGGATATACTGGATTGGCCAAAAAACTTCGTTCGGGTTTTTCCATAACATCTTACGGAAAACCGAAAGAACTTTTTGGCCAGCCCAATATTAAGATGTTTATTATTTCTCTAAAAGGAAAAGTTCAATGTGATTTCCTCTTTTCCCCTCTTTGCTTATTTCTATTAGCTAACAAAGAGGTCCTCAAACTTTGGCCGCTGGGCCAAATCTGACCCACTGCCTGTTTTTGCAGATAAGGAACACAGCCAGTACCCTCACCTACGGATTTTCTATGGCTGCTTTCACACTACAAGGCAGTCATATAGTTGCGACAGAGAGAATATGACCCGCAGTACTGATAGATTTGCTATCTGGTCCTTTACAGAGAGAGAGGTGCTGACCATTGTTCTAAAATGATCATATATACATCAGACGTTTACTTAAAATATACTCAGTTATGCTCCAAAGAGTATTTACTCCCCAAATTTCTAGTTTGAGCAAAATTCATTCACTGATCTAAACTCAGGATCAGTCAGTAATATCTGCCGTGTGCCTACTGTGTTCCTGGCGCTGTTTTAGACACAACGTCCATAAAAGGCCTCTGCCCTCAAGGTGTAGTGGATGAATGAATGCTGGTGCCAGAGGCAGAGGGCAGCTGGAAGGTCAGGGGGAGAGGGGAACTGCAATTCCACAGCAGTACCCAGAGGTGGCCTCAGATGGTCAGGCAGCCAGGAAGCCCCGGGGAGTGAGGCTGAGAGGAGGCCTCAATACACAGCCTGACACGTAATCCAGGGACCCTGCAATCTCAGCTCACCAAAAGCTGCTTCCACTCACCCAGAGACCCCACCTCAGAACCAACGGACTCCACCACGAAGTCCGCCGACCGCCCAACAACCCCGCCATGGAGGCCAGGGCCCCATGCACGGACTTTCTGCATGCCTGCTTCAGGGCCAACTTGAACTTCAAAGGGGCTAGAAGAAAAGGAACAGAGGAACCATTAAAGAGGAGCAAAGAAGGGGCTACGTACAGCTATAAGCTCTTTACACATATTCTTTCCACTGGCCTGATACTTTTCCCTGCAGTCCCAATCTCCAGCCAAGCAGGTTCCCCCACCACTGTTATGTCAACAATATCATGTAATGGGGCTGCTTCAAGCCACACTGCCTTGCACTATCCTGGTCATTTACCCTTTGTGTGCAGGGCTTACCAGACTGTGAGCCCGGGAAGGCTAAGAGAATGCATACTTTTCTATCTGCTGCTTATGCTGTAACAAGAAAACTAGGCTGACTAGGCTTTATCTCATACGTGAATGAATGTGCTTTAACTTTGGCACAGGAGATTCTTAAAAGTTTGCTTAGATTCTCAGAAACTTATAATATGCCCAGATATTTCTCAAAGTAAACTGAATTTATTCAGAGTTTAAAGTTGCCCCCAGGAAAGCTGGAAAGTATGTGAATGCAGGGAAGGCAACTGAAGCCCACAAGGCAAAGCTGTAGACTGTGTCCCTCGGTTCCTGACCACACTCACGCAGAGGATTTTAATGTAAACCATAGCAGATTTTGACATTTTATCCATGGCATTCCCGAACAGAGGCACACAGTGAAAGGAGAATCGCAGTATATATAAGGGATATAGACACTCAGCCCATTTGCTCTGTATTGCTGTTCCTTCTGGCCTTCTGCCTCCCACCAGCCCCAAACCGACAGCATTTGATTTAAAGCAAGGCAGCTGAAACCACAGCGACTTTCTGCTGCTTTTGAGAACAGGCCAAATGTCTGTGTGCTGCTCTGAAAAAAGAAAAAAAAGAAAGCTTTCAACAAAGCAGCTCTCTTTCCCTCCTGCAGCCCAGGAAGCCGCCACCATGAGTCTGCGCTGGGCCAAGCATGCCTCTGGAGAAGACGCAACTCCAGCTGGAGACTCACCTCTTCGGAATGTGGTGTCCCCCCCATGTGATGGCGATGCTATATTTCCCCGGGGTGCTGGGGTAATACTCAAATGTATACACTCCATCCAGAAAGCCTTTCTGCTTCACCAGCTCCTCCAGACCCTCTGTGGGAAGGAAGCACACCATCTTTCCAATGCAATCCTAGGCTCAGAACGAGAATCCACAAGACAAGGACAGAAAGACAGCGATATCCAGGGGGCTTCCCTGGTGGCACAGTGGTTAAGAATCCACCTGCCAGTGCAGGGGGCACAGGTTCGAGCCCCGGTCTGTGAAGATCCCACATGCTGCGGAGCAACTAAGCCCGTGCACCACAACTATTGAGCCTGTGCTCTACAGCCTGCAAGCCACAACTACTGAGCCCACACGCCACAAGTACTGAAGCCCACGTGCCACAACTGATCCCACATGCCGCAACTACTGAAGCCCACACACCTAGTGTCTGTGCTCTGCAACGAGAAGCCACTGCAATGAGAAGCCCACGCCCCACAACGAAAAGTAGACCCCACTCGCCGCAACTAGAGAAAGCCCGCACGCAGCTTCACGCAGCCAGAAAAGAAAGAAGCCACCCATTTTAGCCGCCCACAAAAACTGGAGAGGGAGCAAACCCTTTGGCATGAGGCTGAGGTTAGTATCCCGGTATATCCTTTTCAACTAAAGCCAGATAATGAAAGCGAGAAAGCTCTTATATGCTGTCTCCAAGAGGACAGGTTTTAGAGGCTACCCCACAAACTCCAGACTGAGCCATCAGGCAGGAACTTGTTTTATGTTGAGCCCTGAGGTTTGGCTGGGAAAGCCATTTAGTAAAGCAAGAATCCAAGGTCAGAAAAAACACGCCTCCTCAGTCCCTGTAACAACAAGCCAAGGGAGGCGGGCAGCCCCAGAGCAGCCTGACACCAGGTCCGGGCAGTCTAGAGCCTCGGCTGCCCTCAGGGCACTGCCTGCCCCAAAGCTCGGTGCTCTGAGATCAAACATTAACTTTCTGGAGCTCAGAACACTCCTGCCCCAGCCTGTTAGGAACACAAAGAGTGAGAGCAGTCCTGGAGCAGGAAGCTGAAGATTCCACGAAGCTTGGAAGTGAAACGGCCAAGGCTGCTGCACCTGCAACTAGAAATGCCGAGCTGCTTCTCTGATCTGGGGAAAAACTGGAGGATGGAGCAGATACCCGTCTTCCTGCTCTCTGTCTCCTTTCCCAAGACAGAGCAAGAATGAGCTGTAGGGTGCAAGGCACTCTTCCACAAATGGCATTAATCTACAAAGAAAACTTAATCTTAGGGAATTATCCTCCTTCTATAAGCAATGATCATAGTAATTAAGTACCTGACATCATTTCACCCTTTATAAAACGTAACCTGTAGAGGGAAAATTACTGGCTTTGGAAACTGGGCTTGAATTCCAGCTCAGATGCTTACTTACAAGCTATGCGACCTTGGTCAAGACCCTTCCTCTCTGAGCCTAGGTTTCCTCAAAGAAAAGAAAAGGGGCCACTTCATATTGCTGTTCTAACTCCATTATTTATTTCTATTCCCAGAAGCCTTAAAATAACATGAGGCTGTCAAGCCACCACTGTTCCCATATCCAGGGCAGACATTATTAAATGATCACTGTTTCCTTCTGCATGGAGCCCTGGGAGCTTCAAATCTTTGACATAGCTCTCTGGGATAAACTGATCAGAACTGGCTGTGCAATGATCCATGGCTGCAAAGCTGGCCGAAATCACACCTGAGATGGGGAAACAAAGGAGCACTTACTAGGACCCTTTACGGTTACGCCGAGCTCTCCACTTCCAGCAGCTTTGGTGTCAACCTTGAAGTCTGCAGTTTCTCGGATGCGAATGCCTTTTGGCTGTAGGCCTCGGCCACTGGCCCGGCAGGCATTTGGATTACAGGCTGCAAGCACAGTTTCAACATCAATTCAACCTTTCATTCTTTAGTCCGAGTTGAGCAAGCCAAGGTAACTTTGAGCCACCCGCCAAGAAAATGTTTGCTTTACACAAAGAGTATGCAGCAGCTGTCTGAGACCAGGGGTCCCGTTCAGGGAGCACACCAGGCTAGCAAATAAAGACACAACATAACTTTGTCCGGGCACACTGCACAGGGACTGGGGAAAAATTACTTTGGCAAAGAAAGCAGGAGAGCACAGCGTGGATTTGCTGGGCTCCTGGTAGTGGCTGAATTCTGGCGTTTATCCTCTTGGTGGTGAAAGAGAGTTAAGACCTAGGGCTGGACATTGTTCAAACCTCATTGCCATACTCAAGGGCCCAGTAATTGGGAAGACTGGGTCTACTTGGAAAATGGAACACTTGAAAACATCTGACCTTGTTCCAAACTTTAGATCAGCCATTTCTAAGTCTAAATGTTGCTGTCTTCCGCAGGAAGAGCCAGAGGATAGCTCAAAAAAAGACCAGGTCAACCCCACCTCTGCCAAGGCAGACAAACATTTCAGTGCTGTCTGTTACAAGGTCCTCAGAATGTGGGCAGCTATAAATGCAACAATTAGGAATAAACACCACTCTCAATTTGAATTCTAGCTCTAGTTAAAAAACCCAAAGTTGTAAGTCTAAAAATTAAGTACAAAGGTAGCTTCTAATATTCCTTACATAAGAGTTCCACAAAACTGTTCCATGGGGTTTGTCAGAAGGTTGACAAAAGACATTCTTGGGGCTTCCCTGGTGGCGCAGTGGTTGAGAGTCCGCCTGCCGATGCAGGGGACATGGGTTCGTGCCCCGGTCTGGGAAGATCCCACATGCCGCGGAGCGGCTGGGCCCGTGAGCCATGGCCACTGAGCCTGCGCGTCCGGAGCCTGTGCTCCGCAACGGGAGAGGCCACAACAGTGAGAGGCCCGCGTACCGCAAAAAAAAAAAGAAAAAGACATCCTTGTGCCCTAGGATTTTTTTGACAACATGAGCTACCTTCTCATCGAGTATAGAAACAGGAGATTAATGGGTAAAATGTCACATTGCTCCTTTCCAAACATGACACTGCGTATCTGACAGCTCTCTATACGCTAGGGGGGGGGGTCACAAACTCCAGAAGACAAGACTCTTTACAGAAGGAAGATAGTTCCTCCTCTGGCTCCTCCTCCCTGCAATGTCCTCAGGTGGACATTCCCAAAGAGACATACACACACCCTTGGAGTAGAGATGCTTTTATGTGGTTCATGGATGAGCATAAGGTTATTGGTTTTCCATTGTAAAAGTGACATAAAGCTTCTTTTTTCTTAAAATCATTTAAGTGGAGGAAGGTATAGTACATCAAAAGAAAAACTATTAATTAAATATTAACTAATACAAGTGACAGATGGATATGCCAGAAATGAAAAAGGTCGTCCATGAGTGAGAGGAAGTCAGAAAACACCACTGGAACTAGGAAAGCTGTTCAAAATTCTTTCTTGCATTATGTCAAAGGGAATTCTGCTCCTGAATACATTGGCTTGTTTTTTTTTTCTTTGTCAAGGGGAGAAAAGTTGGTCATACCAGAAATAAGTCACAACAGGATGACAGGACTTCCCTTGGAGGGTTTAAATGTGTCTTTAAAAACAACAACAACAACTACTCATGGAAATTCTGAACATGGGCAACAGTCTCAACATCAAAAGGATAACCGCTCAGTTCATAGAAACACTAAATGGAACTAAAGAGCTTGAAGGCAACCACCTGATTTTCCACTATCTTGAGATGTCTTAGTGATGTTTAAATGTAATTAGAGAGTGGGTTTGGGGTCTGGCTGGACAAGTGGTACTAACACCTGCACTATAATTTCCCGAAGTCACAAACAGCACAGGTCCGGTTGACAACTGCAGGCAGCACAAAGAACTGGCAATGGAAGCCCCACCAACCAGCCCTTACCAAGCGAGATGCCTCTGGCCCAGTGCTTTCAACTAGGAAGCCAACAGCTTCGGGGTCCAGGCTGGCCCAGAGGCAGGATTCAGAAGAGGAAGCCAGGTCTGCAGGTGCAGATGCAGAGGACAGAACAGGGAGAGGCAAGTATTGGTTAGAAAAGGTAGCAGAGTTGGGGAAAAAAAAAAAAAAAGAGTAACAAAGTCAGAAGGAAACAGTCTAACATTAGAGAAAAATGCATGCTTCTGGCTGCAGAGGAAGTTTAACAGCATGGTTAAGGGGCTGACAGAGACCATGGTTCTATTCCTACTGAGGCCTACTCCATAGTCACGGATACCTTATGATACCTAAGCCTTCTGTCTCCGCCTGCAAACTGGGGATGACAATAGCCCCTGCAACACACTGGCTGGTGTCATGATTAGATGCAAGTGTGCTCAGTGCCTAACAGCCAGTAAAGGAGGCTGCAGGGCACCAGCAATGCCACTGCTGTTAACATCAGCCACAAACGCCACCTCCTCAAACAGCTTCAGTCCTGTATCTCTCAGTGAGGATCATGAATCCTAATATGAGTGTTTTGGGACAGATTAAATAAGTTAATACATAAAGCACTTAGGTCACTGCATGGCTCATAGGAAGATATTAGTATTCATATCTTGAGGACAAAGTAGATACTAGTATTAATGTTTTGAGGATACTTCCTGCCAAAGGGACCCTGGCAGCAAAGGGACAGGCCTGAGTTCAGTGCTGGGCCCTGACCATTCTCGTGGCCTCGCAGCCCAGTCATGCACAGCTAGCCTGAATGACAGAAGCAGATGTGGTCAGCTCCCCTGGCACTCACCTTCCCCGACCTGTACAACGAAGGGACTCTTGGGAATGGTGTCCCCAGCAAAGGAGACCTTGACCACATGGGGGCCAGGCTGCACTGGTTTGTACACACATCGATACACCTGGTTTCCTCTGTCTTCCACGAGCAACTCCACGGTGTTCTTCCCCTGGGGATCTTCCACCACCACACCAATGTCACCCACGCCAGCACCTAGCAGACAGAGAACATTCCACGAGCCCAAGTCACCCTCTAGAAAGCTCCCTGCTGATGAGGGCAAAAGTAGGTAGAAAATGCAAACTGCAGGAGACAGAGAGGTACGCAGAAGGTTCACACCTGGACCTGTTTCCCGGTGGAGGGGAGGAGGGTCATAGCCAACTTTCCTTTTCTCCCATTCTCTATTTTCTACATTGAAAAGAAAACTGACAATTCAAGAATTGTGGTTTATTCATCCCCTTTCTTACCAGCCCCCACCCAGGACCTTGCATGGAATTTGGTCCAGTAGATGATTCATAAACCTTAGTTCTTTGGAATATTTATTTAGCCAAGTCAGAAATGTATACAGAAATTATTAATAATAATCAAAGTTAAGCTTGAGTATGAGATTTTAGAGATGAAAAGCTGATTTTGAAAAATCTAAGAATATAACCAACACATTTGAAAAAGCTGTTTTTGTTGTTGGTTCTTCAATTTAAAAGATGAAATGTCAGGCATCCCAAGCCTTCAGGTTCCTGAGGATTATCTCAGGCTTTGCAAGAGGAGAGGTGTTACCTGCTGTGTAGATGTCAAAGTAGGTGGGCTTATTGGCGATGTTCCCAGCAGCTTCCAAGCCCGGACCTTTCGCAGTGACTTTACTGGCGTCTCCCTGGGCCTTGTCGACATTTACTTCGAATGGGCTCTTGGAGATGTGCTGTCCTGCAAAGAGGACTGTGACCTACAAGTGACAGGCAGGTGAGACATCATCACTTCTTCCTGCTCAGCGAGAACACTGCATCAAGCCACATACACCGACAGCCTTCTTGTTCATCCTCCCGATCATACACACAAAGGTGAGGGAACCAGGAGCCCTGGGGACGTGGCCTCAATGGGACTCCCATCTGGCTCCACCAGTCACACAGCTGGGCCTGGGACATCACGCCTTTAGCAAACTAAAACACATCAGACATGCCTAAATTAGCCTCTATAGTAGGATATACACAAATACTTATACTTCAGTCTCTAGACAACGGACTCTTAAGGCAGCTGCAAGTGAGACCACTGTCTCCCTAATATAATGCACAGTTCTAGAATATCAAACCTAAGAGTCAAAGTATTTTTCAAGGGACCAAGATCATTTTCAGATACATGGATGTGAGACACAGTACAGATTTCCATCTAAACTTTGAGTCAAAGTTCTCATCTTTTAAATTTTAAGGGTTATCAGGTTGGGTGGGCCACTGGCCTCCACTATAGTCATTTGGCCTTCTGTGCACCCAGGCTTCGATGCTGACAGAGGCTGCAGAGCACCGTGAAGAAGGATTCTTAAGCATTAAAGACAAAGAACCCACAGCTTAGCATTTACACTCCAGGCTTGCAGCTACAATTATTAGTTACCTAGGTGGAGTCACAAAAATCTTATGACATTGCAAAGGACTTAGTGAAATTCAACCAATCTGCACTTAGTAACTAATGTGTTAAGTCTGACTCGGAGGGATCCCAAATTTTCTACAATGAACGTGGATACTTTTATAAACAGAAAGGAAAATCAGAAGTGAACTTAAGAAAACCACTCTTCTTCCACATATAACGAAGCAGGCTCAGAAGGGCAGTCCAAGCAAAGGTCATGAGGTCTTATCTTACTTTGTGCAGTCCGGTGACCTTGGGCAGATACTCCACAGAGTATGTCTTGTTCTTATCGCTGTCAGGGGTCACTTGTGCCTAGGACGGAAGATGAGCAACAGTTAGAGAAGGTGCCGGCTGTGAGTGAAAGCATGCTATGCCAGCCAAGGTCCTGCAGCAAGGTGCCAGGCCAGGAATCTGCCTTGGCTATTTTCTGCCCCACCACTCCTGCAGGATGCCCCAGGAGGGAAGCAGCCTGAAGTCACAGAAACAAGATCACACAGCACAAAGGAATAACCCGGTCAGGATTCTCCACTGTCTCCTGGCTGTAACTCTCCAGATGAGAGAGACTATGAAGCAATTAATTTAAACCTTTATTGGCCCACTAGCTATTAAGACCTTATGAAATGCCAGGCCCCGTGTCAGGTACCAAAAATAAAACAAATCAGGCACAATTCCTACCCAGTGGGAGAAACAGACAATATGGCAGTAAGCTTAGAACTTCAGATGGTGCTAAGTACTGGGAATAAAATATAGTCTTAAGAAGGTGAGTAGACAAAAGAAACAGTTATGTGCAAAGGCCCTGAGGGAGGAACCAGAGGATGGTCAGCATGGGAAAAGAGTAGAGACTCAGTATTTTTACTGTATTGTTTTTTATCAGTAACAATAGCTAAATCCTTTATAAAATAAAGGATACTTTATTTCATTATATTAAAAATTGTGTCCCTAGGTATGAATTTATATGATTTTTCAAGGCACAATCCTTGGGCAAGTTACTCTAACCTCTGTTAAGACTCAGGATCCTTTTGGTAAAAAACAGCTTTTGTGGTGAGCTTTCATGAGGCAAATGGAGGCACAGTCCCTGGGCCTGTTACAAACTCCAAAAGCTCCATGGGATGCTGACAGGGAAGGCAGCATCCTCCAACATACCTCCTCTTTGTTCCCTTCTGGGTCCTCGACAAACACCATCACGTCTCCTTGCCCGGCGCTGATGGTGTCCACAGTGAACTTGGCCGGCTGCTTCACCATGTTTCCAGTGAGCTCGATTCCTGTCACAGGTTTACACAAGCACATTACAAGCTGGGCCAGGCCCCAACACAGGCTATCACCCATCATGTCTCCTTCTGGGATCTGAGAGATGGGATCCAGCTCTGCCACTGTCACATGGGAGACGGCGACAAACTGTGATGAGGATAATCAAACAGGTCAAAACCCCTAATTTTGTCCTGGTTCTTTAAGCAACATCCAATTCTGAAATATTCAGCACACTTAGGTCAAAAGGCTATACAACTGTGAAAATGACGTGGTAACTAGTAGCAGTGGGGCTTGCCTTGAGGGGGAAGACGAATGAAGTGCAGAGAATGGCTCTTTTTTTTTTTTCTTTATTTCTGCAGTACGTGGGCCTCTCACTGTGGTGGCCTCTCCCGTTGCGGAGCACAGACTCCGGACATGCAGGCTCAGCGGCCATGGCTCACCGGCCCAGCCGCTCTGCGGCATGTGGGATCTTCCGGGACTGGGGCACGAACCCGTGTCCCCTGCATCGGCAGGCGGACTCTCAACCACTGCACCACCAGGGAAGCCTGCTCATTTTTTATTAAAGAGAATTTTTTGTTTTTTGTCTTGGCCATACCACACAGCTTTCAGGATCTTAGTTCCCTGACCAGGGACTGAACCCGGGCCACCACAGTGAAAGCACCAGAGTCCTAACCACTGGGCCACCAGGGAATTCTATAAAGACGACTTTTTTATTACTTGAAATGTTTTTAAATTGGATTATTATTTTTTAATTAAACTTTTAATTAAGATGATTGAGCAAATTAATTTGAGATAGATTCACATACAGGTGTAAGAGATAATAATGCCCATTACCCAGTTCCCCAAATGGATACATCCTACAAAACTCGAGTACAACATCACTACAAGGGAACTAACCTTGACAAAGTCAAGATACAGAACATTTCCATCCCATAGGGAACCCTCGTGTTGCCCTTTCATAGCTACGCCCTCAGAGTGCTACTCTGTAACCTCTCAGGGTACCAATCTGTTCTTCATCTCTATAATTGTATCATTTCTAAAATGTCATATAAATGGAATCACACATTACGTAAACTTGGGGGATTAGCTTTTTTCCACAAAGCATAATTCTCTGCAATTTCATCCAGGTTTTTGCGTGTATCAGTAGTTTGTTCTTTTTATCACTGAGTAATATTCCATGATATGAATGCACTACTGTTTAACCATTCACCAAGTGAAGGACATCTGGGTTGTTTCCAGCTGTCTATTACTGATAAAGCTGCTATAAACATTCATGCACAGGGTTGTGTGTGTGGACATAAGTTTTCATCCCTCTGGATAAATGCCAAGGAGTGCAATTGCTAGGTCATATAGTAGTTGCATGTTTAGTTCTTTTTAACACTGTCAAACTGTGCTCCAGAGTGGCTGTAGCATTTTACATTCCCATCAGCAACGTATAAGTGTCTTGTCTTTCATCCTCTTAACTGCAAAAAGTTTCAAATTGTTTAAAAAAAATTTTTTTAAGTAAAATCCAGTCCTCAGGCCCTTTGTCTACGCAACATTTTGAGTTCTGTTTGAGATGGTGTCCAGGTAGCCTGTAGGACGTAAGCTAAGGAAGCTTATCTGGCAACAGAGTGGGGTGATCCAGGAGTGCACCCTTCATTGACAGAAAACCCTCACACAGTCCAATGCTCATGTACCATGCCAAGACCTCAGCAGATCATACTTTTACAAATGTTTTAAGCTTTTTAACTTTGATGGGGTCCAACTGATCATTTTTTTTTCCCTTTATGGATCATGCTTTTGGTGTCAAGTCTAGGAATTCTTTGCCCAGTCCTAGATCCCAAAGATTCTCTTCTATACTGTTTTTCTGAAAGTTTTATAGTTATATGTTTTACATTTAAGTCTGTGATCCACTTTGAGTTAATTTTTATACCAAGTGCAAGACTTAGGCCAAGGTTCATTTTCTCTGCCTCTGGATGTCCAACTGCTATTGAATCCTATGTGGAAAAGGCTCTCTTCCCTCCACTGAGCTCCCCCTGTGCCTTTGTCAAGAATCAATTGTGCTTATTTGTGTAGGTCTCTTTCTGGGTTCTCGATTCTGTTCCATTGATCAATGTGTCTATCCCTCCACCAATATCACATAATCCTGATTTCTGTAGCTTTATAATAAGTCTTGAGAGCAGGTAGACTGAATCCTCCCACTCGTTTTTTCAAAATTGCTTTCCCTACTATAGTTCTTTTGTCTTTCCATATGTTTTAGAATAATAGTCTTTTCTATATTTATAGAACAAAAATCTCGTTGGGATTTTAATATCAATTGTGTTAAACTTATATGACAATTTGGGGAGAAATGACATCTTTACTTTTTCAACCCATGAAAACAGTGTATCTCTCCATTTATTTAGATCTTTTTGACTTCTTCATCAGTGTTTTTGTAGTTTTCAGCATATAACTCCTATCATGTTTTAGTACATTTCCACCTATTTCTCAGGGTTTTTCTGAGCAACTGTAAATGGCGAGGTACTTTTAATTTCAGTATCCTCGTGTTCATTCTGGTAGACAGAAGTACAATGGATTTTTACATGCCGATCTTAACATCCCATGGCCCTGCTGAACTCATTTGTTCAAGGAGATTTTCTTTTTCTGGGGGTAGATTTTTTATGGTTTTCTACATAGACAATCATGTCATCTACAAATAGGGACATTTTATTTATTGCTCTCCAATACGTACATCTTTTATTTCCTTTTCTTGCCTGACTAGGCTGGCTAAAATCTGCATCATTACGTTGAAAAACAGTGGTGAAAATGGATATCCTTGCCTTGTTCCCAATCTTAGGGAACATGTTCAGTCTTTCACTATTATAATGTTAGCTGTAGGTTTTTTGGGGTGGCTACTCAAATTTCAAACTGAGGAAGTTCTTCTCTATTCCTCTTTTTTCTGAGTTCTTATCATGGATGGCTACTGAATTTTGTCAAATATTTTTTGTGTCAGTTGATATAATCACGTGATTTTTCTTCTTTAGCCTGTTAATATATGTTGACTGATTCTCTAATAATGAGCCAGCCTTGCACCCCTGGAATAAACCCTACTTGGTCATGATGTATATAATTCTTTCTAAATATTGCTGAATTTTATTTGCTCACATTTTATTGAGGACTTTTACGTCTATACTCATGAGTGATACTGGTCTGCAGTTTCTTTTTTGGCACTGCCATTGTCTGATTTTGTTATTAGAGCAAAAGTAGCTTGATAAAATGAATTGGGAAGTCATTCCCTTCTCATATTTTCTGGAAGAGATTGTGTAGGTTTGGTGTTAATGCTTCTTTACATGTATGGTAGAATTCTCCAGTGAAATCATTTGGGCCGAGATTTCTTTCCAAAGATCTTTCAAATTACAAATTTAGTTTATTTAATGGATATAGGACCGTGCAGGTTATCTATCTCATCTTGGCTGAGTTTTGGTAGTTTGCGGTTTTTGAGGAAAGTCTATTGTAGTTATCCATATTTTTGCTTATCACGTTCTCTCTTCCTGTTATTCCAAAATTCCTTCTTTCATTGTTTCCTTTCTGTCCAGAGAATTTCCTTTCCCAATCCTTTTAGGGGATGTGCCCATAACAAATGGTTTTAGTTTTCCTTTATCTGAGAATGTCTTATTTCCACTTCATTCCTGAAGGATATTATCCCTGGATATAGGATTCTGGGTTGACAATCCTTTTCCTTCAGCACGTGAAAAATGTTGTGTCACTTCCTTCTGGCCTCTGTGATTTTTGATGAGAAATCTGTCATTCTATGTTTCCACCATACGTAAGATGTCATTTCTCTCCTGCTGCTTTCAAGCTTGTCTAGTTTCTTGAAGTCTGTCTAAGATGTGGCTTGGGGGGTGTGTGTGTGTGTGGTGTGTGTGTGTGTGTGTGTGTGTGTGGTGTGTGTGTGTGTGTGTGTGTGTGTGTGGTGTGTGTGTGTGTGTGTGTGTGTGTGTGTGTGTGTGTGTGTGTGTG